TGTCAAGTTCACAGCTAATATTATTTTTAGTTATATTTATTGAGTTATTGTTATTTTTTAGATTATTTAAAATATATTGCTCCCTTTTAAATGATTACTTTTGTTTCTCACTCAAACTAACCCTTTCCATAGTATCAGTGGGTTAAGTACAAGTTACCATCGCGATACTTTTTACCTAAACTAACTTACTTTAAAAGTGTAGTATGAAGTATTATTGAATAAAACTCTTAACGTTTTGTATGTGACACGCAAAAAACGTTTGGTAAGCCTGGTCTTCCTCTTCTACCTGCAAATTTTTGCACCTATAGCCAGGGTCTGCCTTACATGTTGTGTATACTTTTGGATATTTGTTTTTACCCTCTTTGGAATCAGAATTAATCAGTGATGTCTAAATACTCTTAGAAAATACATATGACTCGGAAAAATCACATTGGTACTTGCCCGAGCCAGGATCGAACCCGCGCCCTCATGCATGCGAGGCAGGCCTTTTAACCACTAGGCCACCAATAACTAAGGTAAGCCTAGTATATTAAATAATTAAAAGTCAAAAACCTTTAAGCAGTACCTAATACTAGAAAAAACACCATAGTTTTATGAAAATTTATAAAATAATACAATTCCCCGCTTCATTAGTCTTAGATGACCTTACACTTAGACCCTGAATTCTGTTACCACTTTGAATGGATAGTTAATTTAGCATATCATGGTTCTTTTGTATTCTTTGACAAAAAGAACAAAAAAGTATACACTGAGTCAACAAAAACATTTGAGAATGTACCTATGTTATTGTTATTCAAGCTATACTACGAAGAATTCCTTTGGATGTACACGTGATATGAATTCTGTTTGTTATTTATTCATATAATAATATATACACGAATGAATACATTTTATATACATATGAATATCTTTACATATAGGTAGTTTAAATGTAACATTATTATGTAGTTTAAAGATATGCATTATTACTGGTAGACCCTAAAAATTTACGTAGTTATTATCAAAAGGCGTGTTATCAAAAATCTTTCGTCTTTTTTAGGCCTGGATCTCCTATTTCACACCTTTCTTTGTAAAATATTACATATCCAGTATTATGGAAATACTTATAAACTAGATTTTTAAACAAAACGTAACGGTTATCTAAAAATATTTCATTGTAATGTTAATTATATGTTAAAAATAACTACCCATGTAAGAAATCAATAAGTTTAAAATTAAAACATAAAATGCTAATTAACTTAAACGATTTCAAGAAAACCACATCTTACTTTTTATAAATGTAGAAAGTTGGCAGCATTGTCCACGATATGAAGGTAAGCCCAATTAATTAAGCCCGCATTGCACTTATCAATGTATGGGAAACATATGAAGATATCAAACCTCCTTGGATAGTTTAAATAATTCTTAATAAAATGTAGGAGCGGAGATCGCCTTAGTTACGGATGCGTCTTTAACAGAGCGCACGCGCGGTGTTATACCTATTAGCTAAATAATATACATGTTAAAAATGTGTAGGTGCAAGTATTGGATTGCATTTTTTATTTTGGGTGAGTGTAAAAAAATAACAACTAAGCAACAAAAGATATATATTTTTAAAGTGTAGGTAAATAATATTAAAAAAAATATTGTAAAGCAATTTTCTTATTTTTGATATTATTACTTTTGATAATCCTACGTATAAAATAAATAAATAAATAAATAAAATAAATAAATAAAATTAGTTTTACCAACACAAGTGAAATTCTTTCTTTTTTTTTGGAACTACAAAAATATAAAAGTGCAAACTTAAATTTTAACGTAATTCTCATTTTCAAATCGCAATAATTACAGATTAAATATTTTAGGTTTATCTTTGGAACACACCCAGAGTGCTTGGTTAAGATGTTACAGAGGGTGAGTGATTTGTTTAATAAATATTAAATATTAATTAACTACAACACAAGCCTTATAATAACTTATAAAGGCCGGGCTCCTTATACAGTAGGTAATACAGAAGACTATGAAACGTTTGTTCAACGTAACTTCTCCTTAAAATGTCCTTCCCCTTAAATCCTTTCAATGTAGAATTCTTGAATCTTCATACTATATAAATAAAATTAGAGAAATCTGAAAATGTGTTCGCATGACAGAAAATTGATAAGTGAATTTCAATAAAATTTATATGATTATTATTTTAGACACTTAGGAAATATTTAAAGAAATAAAATTGTATATATATAACGAGATATATTTATTTAATATTTAAGATACATAGATTTTTAAAAGGATTAAGTGCATAACGATGTGTGCTTTCAATTTTTACAACTTTAATCCAACATTGCGGACAAAATCACGCGTGTCAGCTAGTTTAATATAATACATATTCCAGTATATATATTGGAAAAGTAATTAATAAATAAATGCTTTTACTTGCGTGACGAAAAAAGTTGTATATTACTTATAAGAATCATCAAGACAATTAAGTCACGTTACTGAATAAATATCATTAAAATTACGAAATCGTATAATTAAATTGTATAAAAATATATTGTTATAAAATTTTGAGAAAATAGATTATTTATTTATCAAAATTATATCCGTTATTTGATACCACCATTACGATTCACGAAGTTAAAATACTTATTAATCGCCATATTTGAAAATTCCCCGTCATAGTATAAGAATAATATAAACAGCCAAACCAACAAAACATTGTAAATTTTATTTAATATGCCTACGAAAAAGTTATTCTATTTATAATTAAGATATTTTAATATTAACAATTTTGGATAAACGTTTTTGCCTTGCCAAAACTCATGCAGGCAAACGAGATATTCTGTAAAATGAATATAAAAACCCCTTTAAATATTGTTTTAAATACTTTTAAAGCTCCTTTAAGAATGTTTTGATTCATCTTGAGGTTTTATTAAGAAAATTCTTGCAATAACGTCAGACGAAGCCCGATTGGTACACACAGGAAAAATATGTGACCACAATAGCGTTTTAAGGTATGGCACCCTAAAAAAATTAACAATGACGCCCGCATGAATAATGAGTACATATATTTGTAGGCATACATAACATTACCATAATTAGCTCAAAATAATTGGGTCAATGGTATTGTTAATATTTTAGTAATGGTTATTTTATGCCGATATCAATGACGATTTTTATAAAACTTTAAAATTTTAATTAATTATAATAATGTATAACAACAACAAAACATACGGTTGTATTAAGAGACTTTTTTGAATTATTTATTTACAGTTAAAGACGTATTTCTACAGAAATATTATTATATAATATATATTTTTTTAATATATATAAAACAAGTAACTTATGTATCAGTTTGTAGAGCAACAGTTTTACTATGTTTTTTTATATAGATTTTCCGTGTGTACTCCCTTTTATTAAAAAAACATTGAAAATTCAGTTAGTTTAACTGCAAATATAAAACAAATCAAATTTAAAAACGTGTAAGAGTAATATTTGAAAAGACAAGTTGTTCCTATCAATGGACACATAAAATTGTTGTATTTTCAATTATGATAAGTGCTAATGTAACACCTCATTCGTTTGACCGTAACATTGTTTGGACGCGACGATAACTAATTAAATACGTACTAGATCTTAATACATTCTTAAATATAATGCTTATTGTTTTCAAATCCCCGATTTGTATATAATTTTATATTGTATCGTTGATATGTTTATATTGAGGCAGTAATCGAGTAGGATCAGAATTATGTTGTTTTAATTCTTCTTATCTAGCACATATGACTGATATGTTAGGATTCTTCTTCTTCTTCCTGGAAGTTTCCCAGCTTTAGCCAGGGTCTGCCTTACTTGTTGCGAATAGTATTCTCTAATTGTTTTTACTATCGGCCGCTTGCCTGACATCAACCCTCTTTGGGTATGTATGTTAGGATTCTGTAATCTTAAATTTATTTAATATTCCACAATCACGTCAACAGTTTCGTAGTCAAGGCCTAAAATGTGGGATTATGACTCAATATTATTATTTACACGTTCGCATTTAGACACGTAATAGCCATTTGACCGCTTTCTTTCGTTATGTCTTCTATTATTTAATAAGCTACCAGTTTCTACATAAATTAAAACTAGTTTTTCTGTTAATTTAAATGCACATCATTGCTTATACATCTGTAGCATAAAAATGTGTTTCATTTAATCTTTTTTGTATGTAATATATAACCGTATAATATCATTTTTAATTATTAATCTGTGAAGCTTATTTAACAAAGCGTTGTTTTAATAATTTTTTCCCTCAATAACATTACTTACGATGTAATTTAAGTTACGTATCTGTTTCTTAATATTTTTGTTATATCAATTTAATTTGTTTTTTACGAAATTGTTTGTTAATTTAGTATTGGCACACATTCATGTTATTGATATTAATATGGTTTTAAATTATATCATAACAGCTGGGTCATAACTTTTGCTTTTATTTTATTACGGTTTATTAAGGACAACACGCGTTTTTTTTTTTCAAATAATTGTGTGTGAGCTTCTATTCGACCTTATAAGGGTTGGCATACTTCACTTAACGTTTGATAAATATTCTTTCACTATACTGATTAAATGAGTTTTTTTAGTAGTTTTAAGTAAGAAAAATTTTGTTGCGGTCTTTTTTTAACATAAGACTTCAAAATATGTAGATCCAAAATTCAACAAAAAAAAATAGTTTAAAATCTTGTTTATATAGATACAACAAAGTCTTGGGTGATTAAAAATTAAAAATTCGTCATCGTCAATAACAAAATTTTTAATCATAATTCGCAAGATATATTCGTAAACAATTTGATAAGACGGAACTTAAAGGATTATATTGACTCATAATTTTATAACAATTAGAATCCAAAAAACGTTTTAAATTAAAGTTTGTTTCATTATTTTACACAAAAAAAAATTAAACATATCTAACGTCTTCACTAACACTAAACTAATGGTGGTTTAGATCAGTATTTAAACAGACATGACCATTTTCTTTCAGTTCCATGGACAATTATATGATAACGTCCCTGAGAAATCCAACACCACTCTTGGGAGATCCATGCATTGACAGGAATCTTCGTACAATGATCTATACTTTTGGATATCGTGGGAAGCCAAACGGCCCAGCGACTACCGCTGTCTTACAAACATATCTGTCAACCGGCAAGAAGAATGTCATCCTATTGGATTGGCAAGAAGAAGCTAGGAGTGGTCTTCTAGGAATTCCACTGGGATACGCATTATCTGCTGTCCCAAACGCGAAAAGGGTATATATGAGAGATAATATTTTTATTAATAGCAGTGCAATAAAACTGTCACAGAACTAAACTATAACAAACTACCTACCCTCAAATTACCTTAAAGTTAAATTTTTGTAAATATAATATTGTGAGTGTTTTTCCCCTTTGCCTATTAATTAGACCGATGCAATGCTAATATCTTTAGTTAGAAATAATTATCAAAAAAGCTATAATAATATCTTATAGCATTTAATAGGAATGTCTGAGGGTCTTTCTGGTATAGAAATTAATATTCTTTTAAAACGTAGTTGAGACTTAAACCTGGAATACTATTTTATATTTCAAGATTGGCCAAGAGCTCGGTGCAGCTCTAATAACTTTATCTCAGGCTGGTCTTAATATGAGTGAGATTCATCTCACGGGACATTCTCTAGGAGCTCACGTTATGGCGTATGCGGGAAGATGGGCACGAGAAAGAGGACAAGTTATATCAAGGTAATCTTACCATTTGCGTTATCAAAGGTCAATAGAACAAATTGTTCATGAAGCCTTACTGACAACAGTTAGGACGTAAAAGTCCTAAAACATTAAAGTAAATGGCCCATTGTGTGTTTTTATGAATATTTCAAAAGTTATTTAGTTATTAAGGTTATAGTTATAAGCAAGTTCAAATAAAATGAATATTGAATCGTAAAGACTGAATATAGTTAAAGAGGTTACGCGAGTATTCATTTGAATGAAACTAATATTTTTCGGATTACTACATTTCGTCTGCCCGTGATCACGGTGGCTGAAAAGTAATCGAAACGTCAGAAGTATGTAGTAAACCGAAAAATATTTATATTTAACTGAAGGTACTTGTATTTTCTTTAGAATAACAGGTTTAGATCCAGCAAGAGCGTTGTTCGAGGGAACATTCGCTATAAAATCGGGTTTGGATCGTACGTGTGCCAAGTTTGTGGACATTATCCATACTAATCCTGGCAACTATGGTACTAGCAAGTCAAGTGGAACCGTAGACTTGTGGCCGAACTATTCTCCCGATGACGGCATGCAACCTGGATGTCCGCGTGGAAGCTACAGCATGTTTACACCCGAGGGTAGGTTTAGTGTACCTAACTAAAATCCTACTAATATAATAATTTCGAAAGTTTGTATGTGTGTATGTTTGTTACTTCTTCACGCTCAAACGGCTGAACCGATTTTGATAAAATTTTGTATATAGGAAGCTGAGGTCTAGGAATAACGCATAGGCTACTTTACATCCCGGAAATCCCGGAAATCCGCGGGTAACACCGCGGGGCACAGCTAGTAGAAATAAAAATATAAATAATATGATATGGCTGTTATAGAGACTATACTACAATCCACATCGTATATAGTCCTACCCAGAAATAATGATTTAAAACAAAAATATTCTCTCAGTGAGACATAAAGACTCTTCTTTCTTCAGTTAAGAGCATTATTTTTATTATTTTCAGATCTTTGTAGCCACGATAGATCGTGGCGCTACCTAGTCGAGTCTGTTCATAATGGAACTTCTTTTATGGCGGCCTCTGCCGACAGTTTCAATACATGGCTAGGAATGGATAGTCCACCGGCAACCATTTATATGGGAGACTTAGCGAATACACGGTATTTATTTATTTTATAGTCTGAAATTTAAGATTTATTTATTTAATGATAGTATTTATTTTCATTTCTCAGTAACATAAATATTGAAATAATTTCACTTGATCCTTGATTACATTATGCTTGTTATTTTGACGTCATAACTGAGATTGTACGTTACTAGGTAAAAATTAAAGATAAGTATAGTTCTTGGACTTTAATATTGCTGAGTCCTATTTCTATTCTATTTTTTCTTTAATATATCTAATTTCGACTATTTATAGTCAATCCTTACCTACATATATTTATATAAGTATGAGGTACCACACACTAAAGTTCTATGGTACTTATTTTATTTTATTTTGTGAGATCTCTTTTTGATGTTTAAGTTTATAATTAGCTAGATGTTCTCAAAAGTTTCACTGTTTTTTAAAATGTTATGGAGTAGAAAGTGAAAGCTGTTCAAAACTAGTTTCTGTTACAAAAGATTCCTTCTCGTATCAATGATATACGGCAACGAAAATAAAAATGATCCATATATCGTAATAAATCACGAACATGTTCATTTGACTATATTTTTTGATCTGCTTTCTTCCTATTAATAAAAAAAACAACCTTAAATGCTTATTTAAGGATAGAGAATTGGGTATAACTTAATAAAAAAATCCTTATTTAAGGGCTCGTGGCAACTTTTTCTTCACGACGAACTCTCAACCACCATATGGTAAAGGTATGATGGGTGTTCTACCTTCAGGACAACGCGCAAGAAGAAATTCTGCTTCAATCATTTCATTAAATTGATTATTGAAGCGGTAAACGTTTAATAGTTTAAGATTTGTTAAAATATCTTTAAGCTTTAAAGATATAGTGATATTGTTGTTATATATAGTTTTATTTAAACATTTATAAGATATTGTTAAAAAACTTTAGATGTAGTAAACATTATATTTAACACTTATTTTGTGATGGCAACAAAATTAAGTGCAACATCGTTAAATACAAACGAAATCCAAATATTCAACAATGTTTGTATGTAGCTCAAAATCATGTGATTTTATAATGTTAATTATTATTAAAGAAGTATTTAAAGAGGAATTTCATTTTATTTATTCCTTTTATTGTTTTCCATGTTTGCTTTAATCGTCAAATTTTGTTGATATTATAATCATGTGCTGATAATTTCAAACGATTCTTATCTTCAACAAACATTTAACATGATTTCTCATTTTCAAAATAAATACAGGCAGTCTTTAATTTTTCTTTCATATCTATATTGTTACAGTGATGCACTTACATTAAGATACTAATTAAAAATTACAACTGTTTGTTTAATGTAATAACTAAAAATGAAATTTTTCTTATAAAGATTAATTTTTATTTGAAAAATATGAAATCAGCAACCTTATTTTTAATTTATATCTTCTTTTTAATATTTTTAGGTTTATATATGTAATATTAAAAAGATTATTATAAAAGAGAACAAGAAGGGACCAATAACATGAGTTTTTACAACAGCGACCATACAAAAATATTTTAAAACGCAGTTATTGTAATTGTAGGTAAATAAACTGCACTTAGCATGAAATGGAGCATGGCGATGATAATGTATAATTATTGTAGATTTATTAATTAAAAGAAATTGGAAAACAATTAAACCATAACTTACAAAAAGTTTTACATTACCTTCTCACGATAATGTTCTGACTTAAGGTTACTTAATACTAGGTATTTGTGAAAATATGATAATGAAAAATAAAGCTTTATCTCTTTCCTAATTGCTATATAATTATTATAGCTTTAGCCTACCACTTCGTCTACGTGGTTCTTGTAATTAAGCTAAGGAAGACGATGTTAATGTCAAAACAATTGTCTTTACGTTAACAGACCCACTTGATATTTAAAGTTGGGTCACGTGACTTCACACTACATACAACTATTATGTGATTCCAGAATTTTTTTCCCAGAATGAGGAGTATTCGATAGACTATGTCTTATTCTAATGCCAAAGCTACATTATTGTAAAGTTCCATCAAAATATATTCAGCATTTTTGAATGAAATACCAACAAACATCCATACATTCAGCAGCTCATTTATTCATAATATTTTTTTAATTATATAATAATTTACCTTTTTTTTAATGTTTTGTATGTGCTGGCAACATCGACGTTGTTGAAATTGAAGATATTATTTTTTGTTTTGTATGTATAGGATGAAAATATTAAGGAAGAAAATATTATATTATTACATGAAACTATATTATTTTGTAGAGAGCTAGCAACATTAGTCATTACTAACTATTTATATTTTTATGGCAGCCCCAAATGTAAGAAGGAGAAAAGATTAATAATGAAAGCCGTAAGCATTTTTTTAATAATTTATTGCAAACTCGTATGTATAATATTGTTCGGCTTCACCAAACATTTTATCCTATATCCTAGTAAAAATTGGCATAAAATAAAAAATATATCTCTATATTTAATTGAGGCACAATAACATTTCATATGATACATCCTTACACTAGTTCATGTTTGTTATGTATTCAACGACACTGCACAATCATCGCTCATTATCAAAGGATTTCACTTGCACACTAAATCATAATGACTTTAAGATATTTTCTCTTTAGAATGCCACAGAAGGTATTTTTATGATAAATAGATAAAAAGAGATCTGTTAGAAGGACAAATATTCATAGTATTAAGTTTTAAATTAAATTAATATTAATTTATAAAATGGACGTCAGGTTGAGAAACGAAATTAATATATATAGGAAACATATTTAGCAAAAACATGTGAGATAGTAAGAATGAGAGTTTCTGCCTTAATGCAAGTTTAAGGGAAAATAAAAGTTAAATATCTTGGCTATAATAATGCGATTTAGTTCATGTACCTATAATTCATATGGACATAATACTAACTTAGTATATGCATTAAGGCAGGTCGATAATTTTGAGTATAATTCTTTTAAATCTCCAGAGAAGTCAAAAAAGTATTTATTCTAAATAATAAAACCCTACACGCCTTGTTAGTAAAAAAAAAACTAATGTGCACGATTCAAATAAAGAATTAAATATAATAAGTCACATTCGAAATAACATTACGAAAATCGTTCGCAATGTTATATAGTGTGATGAATGAATGTGTGAGTGAATGAGTGAATGAATGATTGAATGAGCGAGTGGATTATCGGTGTCAGTCGAAGTCGCTGCCCGACTCTGAGAGGCACAGGTCGTCGTTGAGGACGTCTGTAGGTAAGGCAGCACTTGTGTTGCCACCTGTAAGAAATATTTTAGTATATTTAAACTTATCCATATATTCCATAGACAATTTTAATTAGTTCACTTCACATATAGCAAACAGATAACCTATATTAGCAATTATTTTACATTAGAATTTATATGTATGTATACATATGACTTTGAAATGTTTTCTTGGGATTAGTTATATTACATCTTAATGTAAGAAACTAAGTAGTTGAACTAAGAAGTATCAATAAACATTCATTCATTCATTGCTGTTTTAAGACTTTGAAGCTGGCACAAAGCATTTCAAGTTCACATTCACTTTATTAAAGCTGTCATCTAGCGGTAAGTACAAGCGTTTCTCAACATTAACACAATAACTGCTAGTGTATCGATATACAAGTATCAAATCGCCGGAAATAGTGCAAATCCGCGTAACAACAATTGGATAAATCCCATCTACATTACAATCAGATTATCAGAAGAAAGTTTAAGCTGATATATTTTCTATATTAACGACTAAAGTCAGTGGTGGCCTATTGGTTAAAAGGCCAACCTCTCATGCACGAGGGCGCGGGTTCGATCCTCGCAAGTATCTACTAGTATGTGATTTTTCCGAGTCATATGTACTTTCTAACAGTATTTAGACATCACTAACTAATGCATTCCTAAAGAGGTTTGATGTCAGGCAGGCGGCCGGTCGTAAAAAAAATTAGCCAAAACTATTCACAACATGTATGGCAGACCTTGGCTAAAGCTGGGAAATTGCCAGGTAGAAGATATTTCAGTTTAAACTTTCTTTTAATAATCAGCTTCCAATGTAGATACGCGGAATTATCCAATGGTAGTTATGCGGATTTGTAGTATTCCGAATATATATGAATCATGATAGTACATTACCGTTGGGTAGTGAGTGGTTCGCGCTAGAATCATTATCACTATCACTGTCACTACCGCTCCCACTGTCGCTGTCACTAGACGAAGACGACGAACTGTCCTCCTGGGCCTGTAATTATAAATCTTAATATATACAGGGTGACTGGTGAATTACTATCGATACTTGAGGACGTGATATTTGACGATCATATATGACAAAATAAAAATTAATATAACATAAATATTAATAAACTTCTAAGTAAAGTTAACCAAAAGTTATGTAATTAATTACGCATCGTGTGAACACCCTACAGATTAGGTATACACACACACACACACACACGCGCGTGGCGGCGTAGTGTTGTATCAGCACGCCGCCGTACGCGTCCACACGTGGAACACTTGGAACGTGTCAACACTTTATTTATTTATACGGAAATTTGGTCAAAAATTAAGTACCTATTTTTTTTACATAATTCGAATGAGAATCATGTACCGAGTATGCTCCTTAAATATTGATAGTAATTCACCAGTCACCCTGTATAATTCTTCTGTGAGTGTGTATGTCACTGAACTTCTCTCAAACAACTGGACCGATTTTGATGATTTTTTTTGTGTGTGGTCAAAGGGATCTGGGAATGGTTTAGATTCACAATTCTGTCCGCTGGACAATGTTTTTTTTACGTAATTTTTAATTTATTAGTAGTTGTTGACACAAAAGTTTTTTTTTTGACATTAGATTTGAAAACTAACTAATATGTCAATCATTTTGTCGCACCTCAAAACAAGGAGATTTATGGCTTTAATAGGTAAACTCCAAAAATATAAATAAAAAAACGTAACAGATATTTCTTGATTATAGGGCGATACGAAGTTCGCCGGGTTTTCTAGTATATTTATATAGAAACGTTTCATACAATTTACATAATAACTTGTAGTGAAGTGCGCAAACAAATAGACGGTATTACAAAAAACTTGTTAAACAAAAATATTTGTGTAGGTACATTTTAATAATTGTCTAGTGTATTTATAATGATTATTTAATAATATGACGAAATCGATATATATGTATCACATAACTATTGGGAAGAGAAAAAGTAAAAGGCAGAATTATTTGAATCTGTTTTAAAAATTATATATCTCTATAAAAGAGATTTCCACCTATATATTGACTCATCACGATATCTCTAGAACCATAGGGCGTTGCGACTTGAAATTTGGTAGGATTATTAATTACGCCGAGTAGAGGTCAGCTAAGGACGGATTTTACGAAATTCCACCCACAAGGTTGGTCGCGGGCGCGTCAACAATGGAAAATATGCTTTCACGTCTAAACCAGTGAACTGATTTTAATGAAATTTGGTACGGAGATGGAGTTGACCTTGAGAAAGAACATAGGATAGTTTTTATCACAGACTTTTGAAACATTCTCTTGGAAACGCGATATAACCGAACTCCACACGGGCGAAGCTTCGGGCGGAAAGCTAGTAGTATATAAATTATATTCACCGATACAGGTTGCATGTGTCTCTGTGGGGGCGGCGGTTGAGGCTGGCTGGGTGGCTGTGTCTGTGGGGCCGCGTGGTTCACGTGTGGCGGCGGGGCAGAGTGCGGCGCGTGTGACGCTTGAGGCATGTGGGGCGCAGCGTGCTGTACGTGAGTCTGTGGGGCCTGCGCGTCGTCAAACCCTATCATAGGGAGCGATGCCAGGGTACTATTGCCACCCGCGGACCATCTGAAGTATTTAATGATATATAAGTTATTTAATCACAATATAAACACTATGAATTTCACTTACTATACACTAATTTAATTTATGTCTCCGGTATTAGTATATAGTTATATTCACAAAAAGCTGTTTGTTATGTGACGGTGTCATAAGTGGTCGTTTAATTAAAATAAAATTATTATCTTTATACGGTGTAATCAGAGGACGCCTTAGATTCTGGGTAAACTCGTCTATTCTACACGGGTCTGACTCAGCAGTTCCGTGTGAAGACAGTTTTTGGTTTTATATTTCTTTTATGTTTTTAGATTATAATATTTCTTTTAAGAATTTCATTAGATTTATTGTCACTATTTGTTCAACCTTTGTGCAACATAGTCGCACCCTAGTTGTAATTTACTTTTAATTAAATTAAGTCAAATAATTTTGGTTTCATTGCATCCACCGACCGTCGAAATCATAATCCCTACTAATATTATAAATGCGAAAGTAACTCTGTCTGTCTGTCTGTCTGTCTGTCTGTCTGTCTGCTACGCTTTCACGCCTAAACCACTGAACTGATTTTAATGAAATTCGGTACAGAGATAGAGTTGACCTTGAGAAAGAACATAGGATAGTTTTTATCCCAGACTTTTGAAAGGTTCTCTTGGAAACGCGATATAACCGAACTCCACGCGGCGAAGCTGCGGGCGGAAAGCTAGTTTGTTATAAAATATTGACATCAGTGGCGGCTGTACCTTAAGTGCACTCGTGCGCTGAACCACCATTCAATTGTTTTAAAAAATTACAAAATATAACTTCATCTTTATTTTTAAATTACCATTTTAATATTTATTTTTTAAACATAAAAACGTATATAAAATTAAGTTTTCTAATTATAGTCAAAAAGTTTGTGCGCTTTACTAAACTAATATCTCGTGCGCTTCGGCGAGTGCACGAGGACTGCTAATACATCTTGTATGAGACACGCATTAATACGCCTGACGCGTGAAACAAAAGATAGTTCATAGAAATGTACCGAGTAATGAGTCGGTTCTCGAGCGCCGCACGAGCGACGAAGATTACCGAGAGCACCCGATGTATGACGAATTGAGCCATGATTGACATCTCGTTGTATTGTTTTGTTGCATTTTCTAATTTTAATATTTTAGTAAAGTGCACCACCAGTTTTATAACCCGCCAGCCGCCATTGATTGACATATAAATATATTCAAAGTTTGTTATATTAATATGTTTTTAAACTCACGGTGCTTGAGGAGGTGAAGTCTTAACTCGTGGTGGGGACCGGACCATGTTTTGAGGCTTCTGTGTGTTGTTGAAGCGATTCTGGTTGGTCACTTGGGCGGGACCACCACCTGCTAATATATACATACATATCATTATAAACATATAGTTAATATATATGTTCTTATAGTAAAAACATAATATGTTTTCTGAGTAGTGAAGGAGTTTGACATATTTATTATGTCACTGATTAGAGTATTTAACACAAACTTATAGAATTGTTACTATTGAATTAGTATGTGATTACTTTATAATCTATATAATTGTATGTTTGGTTTCAATATGATTAAACATTATCAGTTGTGTAAGGTTGAGTACAAACTACCATGCCAGTAGGCTTAAGTTAATGTAACAAGGTACAAGAGTACACTTAAAAGAATACATCAATTAGTTAAGTAAAGTTATATACACAATGAAATCTGCCGGGTACATAATAAAATCTAAATCGTTAAGGAAAATGTAAGGTCAGGTTCACACGATTTTATGTACATTTGTTTATCCAGTATAAAGCTTCGTACACACCTGCATTGTTCGCACGTCGATTAGTCGTGACGCGAGTGCGTGAAGTCGACCTCTGGGTAGTATTCGTGAAATCAGCTGTCACGGGGGTCAATGGCCGCGGCTTTTGGCTGTTCTCCTGTCTAAAGAATAATTTTTGGCAATTAGTAAGCGTTTACTGACAAAAATATTTTAATGCGTATTGCAATTTCAAGAAATGTGGTATTGCAATGTAAACAATGTATCTTTGATTTGAAAAATTATCTTAGATAAAATATATCTTTTTTTTAGATGAATTGAAATCAAATAATATTTAAACACACACATATAAATATATATACTAGCTTTCCGCCCGCATTTTCGCCCGCGTGGAGTTCGGTTATATCGCGTTTCCAAGAGAACCTTACAAAAGTCTGGGATATAAACTATCCTATGTTATTTCTCAAGATCAACTCTATGTCTGTACCAAATTTCATTAAAATCAGTTCAGTGGTTTAGGCGTGAAAGCGTAACAGACAGACAGAGTTACTTTCGCATTTATAATATTAAGGGATTGGTTTATTCTTTTGTCTATTAATACCAATTCTCACCTGGTCTTCTTGACTTGTATGTTGCTGGAGAGTTTCTCGAGAGTGATCTCTCCAGTGTCTCTGTCTATGATCAAAACACATTCCTTCGTGTACGGCCTCTGACTACCTTTGAATACTGTTTGTGGGACCCCAGCGCCGTCTGTAACACGACAAACCCATTATATGACATAACTTTATGGTCTTCTACCTGGCAATTTCCCAGCTTTAGCCAGGGTCTGCCTTAGATTTTGTGAATAGTTTTGGTTAATTGATTTTACGACCGGCCGCCTGCCTGACATCAACCCTCTTTTAGGAATGCATTAATCAGTGATGTCTAAATACTCTTAGAAAGTACATATGATTAGGAATAATCACATTGGTACTTGCCCGGGCCATGATTGAGCCCGCGTCGTCGTGCATGAGAAGCGAGACTTTTAACTACTAGGCCACCACTATCTGACATAACTTTATATTAACATATATTGATAAATAAAAATCAAATATTCGCGGAAACACTTATATGTGGAGAATTCTATGAGAAACACTTTAGCATTTTCTAGAATCTATTTTTTTTTAATATAATATAATTTATATTCTTAATTACCCAAATGCGGTACGGTCACTGTAACTTGATTATTCGTGCCAACATCCACTGTGGCCATTTTGTTAACATCAACTGATGCTGGCTTGAAGTCATCTGTAAAAAAAATACATCTATTATATAATACAAAGTATAAATTGTTTTTTTTTGAGCAGAATGATATTAATCTTTTAAAAAAATTATTTTTAAGTAGTCATGCAAAAGCTTGCATTAGGCCAATATTATAAGTAATTAGGTACATACTTATGTATGTATATATCTTGAGGTATAAATATTTAATTTAGTAACAAAACCGGGGAGGCGTAGGTAGTATTTTAAAGAAAAGTAATCTCAACTTTATTAGAAGACAAAGTAATGTTGAATGCTACAACATCATGAATAGCTTGTAACTTGCAAGTCTTCCCTCTTTTACTTTTAAGTACGAGTTTATATAAACTCAGTTGTTTATTCACATTTATGGAAAATTTATAAAAATATTCAAGGTCTTTGATTCGTAATTCTGAAATCCATTTTCTTTCTTAATTCTGTTCTACATGATTCTAAATTTAAATTTAAATAAAAATTGTATAGCCAAATTAATTTTTATAAATCCAGAAATCAACCAGTACATTTTTTATATCACTAAAAGTTTATATACAACCTTATTAAAAATATATAAATTTTATATTATTATATATATGTTATTTTAATAAAACATAAATGGAATGTGAAAGATCAAATTCAGATGATGTCTGTAACATTAGATATTAAGAGTTGCATTACTATCAACTATTTTGATTGTATAAGAATTGGTATTTTTGGACTTTTAATGAAAATATTTGATCTTCTAACATAACTATACTTTAACCAAATTTGTTAAAATACATATATATTCTATGAATATTAAATACTGATTTCTTACAACAAAGTTAAAGGTACCTATTATTGTATTTGATTTTAAGATGCTTGCATTGAAAAAATATCTTTTTAGTTATTGTCAATTTTATATACAACAGATATGATTTGTATATGACACATAAGATATACAGGGTGACTGGTGAATTACTATCAATATTTAAGGAGAATACTCGGTACATGATTCTCATTCGAATTATGTAAAAAAATAGGCACTTAATTTTTGAGAAAATTTCCGTATAAATAAGCAAAGTGTTGACACGTTCCAAGTGTTCAAGTGTGGACGCGTGCGGCGACGTGTTGATACAACACCACGTCACGACACGCGTATGTGTGAGTGTCAGTGTATACCTAATCTGTAGGGTGTTCACACGATGCGTAATTAATAACATAACTTTTGGTTAACTTTACTTAGAAGTTTATTAATATTTATGTTATATTAATTTTTATTTTGTCATATATGATCGTCAAATATCACGTCCTCAAATATCGACAGTAATTCACCAGTCACCCTGTATATATATATACTACTGGAACATGGTTCAATGAAACATAAAAATCTTGTTTGCAATCATAAGCCTTTGTTTTGTTTTATCTACTGCAATTTATAAGATAAGAAATTGTACATCAACTAGCTAAGCTAAAAGCTAAGGTAATTTAAATTAAGGAAGGATTATATTTAAATAACTAACTGACACATAAAACACTATCTACGTTTTTTGGAAGTCATGTATGTGGTTACATTAGGTTGATAATACATCTTATACAGTGAATGCTACATAATATACTATTGTTAATAAAAAAAACCTTATAAAATAAGTAAATAGTGTAACTCAATATAAAGAATTCATTTTGTCTTTTCTGTTCAAGATTTTTCCTACTTTAGGCAATTCTAAGCTATTATATCAACATATAATTTTTGTTTTAATATCAAGATTTCTCTTTTTAACAAAATTTCATTGCATGTAATAATGTTTCAATTTTTTAATTTTACTCCCATTTCTTACATAATTTCGAAAATTTTCGTAAGTTTTTTAATCAGTATATTATTATATTACTAAAAGAAGTGGCATATATGTAAGATTACATTGGCTGATTATTATTAGTGGCACATTTTTAAAAACCTATATTTCTTTAAACAGAGAGTAGAGATAACTAAATTGTTTTTTCTCCATTGATTGTCAACTTGCAAAATCTTACATAGTTTTATTGGATGCACCATTTACATAAACCATTTTTGACGTATATTATGTTCAATATCCATAATAGAATTTTTAATCTTTGGTTAAATGAAATTAAAAAGCAGATCTTTGATGAATCAAAAGATAACTTTAAATCTGTTTGGTTGTACTTCAAAATATAGTAACGGAAAGCACACTTAATAACTTTATGAAACATAATCATTTATTCTCAAGATCAATTAAAATATTAAAGATTAAAACCAACAGATACAAAATTAACCAAATATAATTGAGATCCACAGCCATTCAGCTTTCTATATTTTATCATGATTTAAATTAATAAGTTACCTAATACTGGCCACCAATACTGACTTTTTCAGTTATTTTATTAAAAAAAAGATCTAATATAAATTAAAAAAAAAAAAACTAATATATAGTATTGTAACTTACATTTGATGGTGTGATATTGTGATGTCTTATTATTAGTGAAACTTGAGCCCAGCTTCAACTCCCTTACATCATAATTTAAACTATGCTTGTCAGCCATTTTACCTTCTGTCTGCCATATGTTTAAACCTTAAAAAAGAAATAATTTAATTTAAAAACTTAAATTGTCATAAATGCATTCCTATCAAAGAATTAATAGATAAATCATTCTCATTAAGATGAATAAAATTTTTGAGCAAACTGAATAGCTTCCACTTTCAAATTGAAGTAATTAAATTAACGGAAAAATTAAATATTTTAATGAATGTATAAAAAGTTTATTATATTATAAGGAGAATTTGTCTTTTTTATAGGTTTGTAATATTAATTTCATATTATAACTATATGAAAGACGAAAGTAAGTTTCAATATATCGATTTTATAAAGAATATAAGGTTACGTGATTTATCTTTTTTAATTTTATTGTGATTAGCGTTATGCATACGTATTACGTTCACTTAACTACAGCTGATAACTTAAGATTCAATTCAACCTTAATTAAGATGGAGATTCTTTACGTAAATACTTAAAATCCTTTTGCATTCCACATTTTCTTGTATGTTCTATACAAATTTTAAGATATATTTCATTAAAACATTTGTAAATAAGAGAAATATGGCAAAGTTGTTAAATGTATGTTGTGTACGTTACCTTTATTGTTTATCTCCGAAGATTATACGCTGCTACGCTCCGGATACTGAAATTATAAATAGCAAGTTTTTGCGAATTTTTGTATTATTAATAAGTTTCTTTGGAGCAAGAAAGGCTGAAATAGTCCAAAAATTAGACATTGCCAGTTGCCTACTCTTTCGACCTAGTTCTCATGACGGACACGACAGTTGACAGATAATTGGATGACTATGACATCTGCATTCTGAAAACGAAACGTCTTCAAAAATTAATTTCTGCTATGATATTTTAAAATATTATTGGACAAAAATTTTTACAATAATATTAATAATAAAAATAAATATTCGTCCTAGTTCTTTTAAAGACTAAATAAAATTTTTATTTTATTACTCGTTTTTTTTATTATATTCTATGAACGTCTTAAATCAGTAATGTTGCAGTTTTTATAAATAAATCAGTATATCATAAAAAATAACATAATAGTGTCAAGAATAACAGCAATAAATAAATATAATATACATTGTAATTTGTAAGTAAACATAAAGTAGGTACCAGGTATTAGGTTTATGCACCGTCTACATTCTTGCCGTTTCCATAGAAACACAACGATATGAAAAATAAATCGATTTCCTTAGAAATTGATCCATCAATTATGGAGAAAAACATGAGAATTGTTAAGGTAATAATTTGTTTATTACTTATTAACGTAAACGAACAGGTGAAACTGAATTATGATCATTGAATTTCAGGACAGTGCCGTGGAAGAAGAAATCAATAAACTTTTAGCGGAGACAATACCGTCTCAGACCGTCAAACCGAGACCCGGTAATCTTAATAAAATAATCTACATCCAATATTTATATAAACATCAAATAAACGTAATATTTTTCATTTATAGGGTTTTGTGTTAAAACATTTACAAAGCCTGACAACAAAAAGGTTTTTGTTAATATCTGCTTGACTGAGGCTATACCTTGTCCCAGAAATATTAGTAATGGTGAATTAATGCAAATACTGAACTCCGAAGACCCATCTAGCTATAGAGTGCCTATGAGTATCGGTGAAGGAAGAACTGAACCAGACAAGTCGGGCATTCCAGCAACTGTCTATGATGTTGCTATAAATCCAGACTTTTTTTGTAAAATCGAAAAAGATGATCTCTTCCAAACGTTCTTTCTCACCGTCGTGTTTGAGGGCCTACAAGATAAATATCAGTTTGAACTTGATATGCAAAAATTTACAATATTAAAGAATAGAAAGTCAATAGGGACCCTACAGTCACATAGAATTCAAGTCAGAGATGTGAAAAAATATGAAGACAAAACAAAACCATTGATTGAAGAGATACAAAAGCCGACACCTAAAATAACTGAAATTCCGGCAGTAAAGAAAAAGGAGTTAATATACAGGTTGAGAAGAGAACCTCCAGTTGGAGAAATACAGTATTTGTTAGCTGAATTTATGATACCTTCTACAGTAAGTAGTATATTTAAGGAATATGAAGTTATGTTTAATTGCCTTTATATTATATCAATATGTGTACAGATCGAGCTGAAGGATTTAAATCTAGAAGTTGGTGAAGACAGACTTGTACTGGACTCGAAGGGATTGTTTCAAGTTGTTGATTTCTTCCTACCATGCAGCGTTGACCAGGATATTGTTGATGCTCAATTGAATAGAAATAAAGATGTAAGTATGGCTATATAACTATCATAGTAATAGACATTCACTGTGATCATGGTTGCTGAAAAGTAGCCGAAACATAGGGACTATGTAGTTTTTTACAAAAATGAACCTCATAGTATATCAGAAAAATATTAGTTTCACTTTAAATATTAATGTTTGTTGTCACAAATATCATTTAACTTAATATCATTTATCAGAACATGATTTATTTGGAAATAGAAACAATATTTTTTCTGATTTACTATGCAATTTTAATTATTTTTAACTTTTTACTCCTAATGTTTCGGTTACTTTGCTGTAACTGTGATCACAGGTAGACAAAATGAGAGTATAAAATATTTGTTTTATTTCTATGAGTTCCCTTAAAAGTCTTAGATCTCAGTATCATTTATCTTTCTAAGTTATTCTTGAAAAGTACATAAGATTAGATTTTAATAGGATAATTAAACAATGCTTTAGACTGTTTAAATGTTATACTACTAGGTTTTGTCTGCAATTGTGTCCATATCTTTACTATGTTTTTCTGATTTATGAGCCATTTTAAAGTATAGACCCATTCAATTCATCTGAAAAACAAGTAGTTAACTATTAATTTAAAAACTTTCGCCTTTATAAGGTGTCTTATCTCTCTACTACATATATTTTTTTAATTATGCCATTACATTTCTATTTCAGATGCTCTATGTGAAAATGCCAGCCATACATTGAGAAGAAATATTTATAACATATACTAGGTACATTTTCAAATTATACAAGTAATAAATAATATAAAAAAGGATATTGTTTTATTAAAACCAACAAATATTTTTATAATCGTTTTTATTGTGATGTTATTCTTATATGAGATTTATTTTTAGATTCATAGTCACTGTTATTATAAAATATAGTATAAATAAAATTAATTAATAAAGCTAATTATTAAGCCAACTTAAAATTATATCACATAATAAATGCTTGTAAATATTTAATAGCAAAAATTAATTGGTATGTTTCTAAACAAAACATGTTTAGCATAGATGTAGATTTAAAAAGGGGTAAAATATTTTGAGAGAGTATAATTAAAAAATATGTATATATCTATTTGTAGATGATACATTCTCAACACAGTATTAATGATGTAATTTGTTCAATAAATAAAAATGCTCACATTGGCAAAGTATTACGATTCCAGTTTGAATAAAGCCATCACTTAAAATAAAAAGACAATAAATTAAGTTCTAGATGCATCATGTTTGATATAGAAAATATTTGCACATGTTACAATTTAAGACCTTATTTTAAATGTATTTTTGAATTTTTTTTCCAAATATTGAAAATGTAATATTACTACATGTACTTAATAGCTTGTTTAGTATTTTGCATTGAGGGAATGTTATAAGGATTATAATACTAAGGCTTAAAATGAGGGCTAGCATCTGTTTACAGTATAGAATAACAAGCAAGCTGCAAAAATTATATAAATTAATAACACACAATTATAGACAACTATAAGAACATAGTTTCAGAACATTTATACTTAATATACTATGGAGATTATTAAAAACTTACCAAAAACTATTTACAATTTTTGACTCCTACTTAAGTCACATTTAACATAATATATTAATTTCATTATAAGTTGCAAATATCAATCCAAGGTATGTAAATTTCAATCTTATAGAATTTCATGATTACAAACTAAAATCATCATATTATAATTATTTACACGTCAAAATAATGTGTATGTGTTCTTTTAATGTGAAATTAAGTACCAAATTTACTGTATTTGAATAAACTTTTATATAGAAGTATCCCATACATAATAAACATATTAAATTTACATATACATATATCTTTATTACACATTTAGATTCATAAATTTAAATTTTGTATTAATCTGTTAGCTATAAAGAATGGAATACACATAAATGGAAAACAAGACTATTTGACATCTATGATCTAACACAATTCTTGTATGGTTGAGATTATTCTTTACAGAAAGTTCTAAGTTTATTTCTACATTTATACATAATATAACTTGTATATTCCTTAATGTTTTCTACTTCAAAATAGTAGAAGTTATGAAAATCTAATAACATATTTGATCAATTCACCTATAATTCATCCCTAATATGACTCTTGATGCCAATATTTTGTATACTCTGTAGCAGATCATTGTCATATTTTGTTACATGAGGTTGTATATCTTGAAGTAAACTTAGATAATTTTTGGCTTGAAGTGGAATGATTCTGCTTGGATTTTTCTTATTCCTGCTTAAATATAACTTGATTGACGGATAACTTGTTATGTGCTCATGTTGACATAGACCACGTTCTGACACACAGTTCACTTTACCAAACTGTATGTTGTTTTTGAGGAACTGAAAGAAATATTAATAAAATTAATCTATTAATTATAATTCAAAGTAAGATATATTGGAATCTAAAAGAATGGATTAAAAGTTAGGTCATAAAATTTAGTTTAAACAAATATGAGATATAGTTTTTTAAATACTTTTAACATTTTAGAGCATTAATTGCCGACCCCAAGTGAAATGGGTGAGGCTATGCAGAGAGAGAGATTTTAGAGCATTAATGTTAGTTATTTCTAACATAGTAATAGGTAGGTAAAATTGTAAAAAACATGTTTATAAAAAATATACTTACAATTGATAAGATTGCAAAGTCAGGATACATTTCATAGCACCGGTAACATCTGGGAGAATGGAAATACACCAGCCATGGCTTTTTGATACTGAAATTGTCAATATATAATTATTAGTGTTAATACTGCAAAAATTTTATCTGATACCAATTTTTTCCTATTTAATACTTGACATAAACAAACATACATAGTTTTGTTAATGGTTGGTCACTACTTTAGTTTTAGGAATTATGTATATTTATATGACAGAATATTAAAAATTGCTATTTTTATGGAGTGCAAGAAATATATATATATATATATATATATATATATATATATATATATATATATATATATATATACAGGGGGTAACAGGCTCCAATTCCATCTAGGAGCCCAAGCCAACCCTGCCTGCACGTGGCACCCCTGCTGGATAACGGAAAGGGCTCTGGCGATGCTTTTCCTCTGGAATTTACTCTAGAGGTTCGGGAGTCAGACGGCAGTCGTCTCGGTAATAGGCAAACAAGCCAATAAAAAATGATAGGACAGGAAAGAGTAAGCAACATGGCTAGGGCGTCGCCGTATAACGACGCGCAGGGGGATCGCCTTGCCCCTGCGACAAGTGGGCGAGGGCTACCGGGTGCCGCGCGAACCCGGCTAAAGAAGTTAGCGCCTGTTGCGAAGATCCGCTTTGCTAGCTGGAACATTGGCACGCTGACGGGACGCTCTACAGAGCTTGCGGCCACACTCGCCAGACGAAAAGTGGCGGTGGCGTTCTTGCAGGAGACACGGTGGAAGGCCAACAGAAGCCGTTACATAGGGCAAGGCTACAAGCTGATCTATACAGGCTCTCCTGGTGGGGAAAACGGTGTGGCGGTTGTGCTTTCCGAGCGCTACCATGACAGTGTCTTGGAAGTCAAGCGTATTTGCGATCGACTTATGGTGGTAAGGGTACTTATTGAGGGAGTAGTAACTCACCTCATAAGTGCCTACGCCCCACAGGCCGGATGCAGTGATGCGGATAAGGCACTGTTCTGGGAGCGTGTCGGTGACGTGCTAGCCGCCATACCGTTGTCTCATGGTATTGTTTTGGGTGGTGATTTGAATGGTCATGTGGGAGAGACGCACGAGGAGTATGGACGTGTTCATGGCGGATATGGTTACGGCCGAAGTAACGCGGAGGGAGAAACCATTCTCCGAACCTGCGTCGCCGCTGACCTGGCCGTAGTGAACACGTTTTTCAAAAAGAAACCTGAGCATCTTATCACCTACAGGAGCGGTCGAAACGCCACTCAAATCGACTACCTTCTGACTAGGAGAAGCCTTGTCAGCCGCGTGGCCAACTGTAAGGTCATACCCGGAGAGTGTCTAACTGCCCAGCACCGACTCCTTGTTATGGATCTCTGCGTAAAGCCTCGCCGTAAACACGCTGAGCGTTGCCGCCGCCAAATCAAGTGGTGGCTGCTGGATCACACCAGGTTCTCGGAATTTGACTGTGCCACTGGGGACATAAGTCCGGATACAGAAGGCAAGTCCGTCGAAGAGTACTGGAATAAGCTTCAGACAACAATTACGAAAACGGCAAAGCAAATCCTCGGTGTGGCGAAAGGAGGCCGCAAAATTGACAAGGAGTCATGGTGGTGGAATGCCACAGTCCAGAGGATGTTACAGGAGAAGAAAGTGCTCTTTAAGAAGTGGCAAGCGTCTAAATCCCCTGAAGATCACGAGTCGTACAAGATTGCGAAAAGAGAGGCTAAGAAAGCTGTAGCCAGAGCCAGGCGAGAACACTTGCAACCACTATATGCGAAGTTGGACTCGCCTGAGGGGCATAAGCTCATTTATAAACTAGCACGCTCTAGGATCAGGGCAGCGCAGGATACAAGTCACTGCCGCTGTGTTACTGACGCTAACGGAACGCTCTTGTACGATGAGTGTGCAGTGAAGGAGAGATGGCGCTTTTATTTCCACGGATTACTGAACACTCAACACCAAGAGGTGCGACCACCAGCACCTCCTCCAAACCTAGGACTTGTGCCACCGATTACGTCTGGTGAAGTACTCGATTCTCTTCGCCGCATGAAAAATCGGAAAGCTGTCGGACCGGATGAGGTATCAATTGAAGCGTGGAAAGCGATGGGTGCTCGTGGTGTGTGCATCCTTACTAGCCTTTTTAACCTAATCCTGAACCACCGGAAAATGCCGAATCAGTGGAGGCTGAGTTTCATAACGCCGGTCTACAAGGGCAAAGGGTCTGCTCAGGATTGCGGTAACTATCGTGGTATAAAAGTGATGTCACACACCATGAAACTCTTCGAGCGCATAATTGATAACAGAATCCGGCAGGAGTGTACAGTGTCGGATTTCCAGTACGGTTTCCAACCGGGACGTGGTACCATGGACCCTATTTTCGCCCTTAGGATTCTCATGGAGAAACACAGGGAAAAGAATATGCCTCTTCATTTCCTATTTCTGGATTTGCAGAAGGCCTTTGACTGTGTTCCCAGAGAGATAATCTGGTGGGCGTTGAGGTCCAAGATGGTGCCAAATACCTATGTGGAAATCGTACGAGACATGTACCACAATTCCGATGCTATAGTCAGGACCGCTGTTGGTGACACCACACCTTTCCCTATTACTGTAGGCGTGCATCAATGATCTGTCCTAAGCCCATATCTATTCAGTGTGATATTAGACGAACTGTCAGCCAGTGTACAGAAGTTACCACCGCCTTGGCTGCTTATGTACGCTGATGATATCGCACTGGTAGATGAGGACAAGGGACGTTCAATCCGGCGTGTGCACGAGTGGAAAGAGGCACTTGAGAACGGCGGGCTGAAAATTAATGCGACGAAGACGGAGTATATGGCTTGCAATAGCTCGGATCCTACCTCCATCTGGATCGATGACGTCATGGTAGGGCGTACGGATCACTTCAAGTACCTTGGATCTGAGCTCGATGCGTCCGGAGACATCGACCGCGACATCAAAGCCCGTATAACTGCGGCTTGGGCGAAGTGGCGTGAGGTGATTGGAGTTATTTGTGACCCTAAAATGCCGGTCGTGCTGAAGGGACAGGTCTATAAAACCATCATTAGGCCTGTCCTTATGTACGGCAGTGAGGCATGGCCTCTGCTGGAGCGGCACCGGCGGTTGTTGCATGTCACGGAGATGAATATGCTGCGCTGGATGTGTGGCGTTACGCGGAAAGACCGCGTTCGTAACTCACACATTCGGGGCAGTTTGCATGTCCGTGACATTGCCGACAAATTGCAGGAAAGTCGCCTACGCTGGTACGGCCATGTCTTACGACGACCGGAAAACTACGTGGGTCACAAATGCCTCAATATGACCGTACCTGGCGCCAGGAGTAGAGGAAGGCCCAAAAGACGTTGGCTTGATGTCGTGCAAGATGACATGCGTGCCAATGGACTCCACAAGAAGGATGCCGAAGACCGGGCTAAGTGGAAGAAACTGAGTGGGAAAGCGGACCCTGGGTTCTCCCGCCCTAGGCGGGACGAACAACCGGGACAAACGCTAGGGTGATGATGATGATATATATATATATATATATATATATATATATATATATATATATATATATATATATATATTGTTGAAGTGAAATTTCGCTGGCGCTAGAACGCATTCGGGCAATCAATTGTGACTTGTAAGTAATGTTAATAAAGTTTGTTTCAAAGAAACACAAAAAATTCTTTAAAAGTCAATTTCTAGCCCTTCCTGTTTCCATTCCAACATTACGAACTTTCACCTCTTACGTACGGAGAGAGTTCACGAACTATTTTCTTAGTTATTTAACCTTTAATAACATTAATCTTATTGTACCTGGTTGGATTCAACTCTTCAGATATAACATCCTTAGTGAATGTCCTCCAATTAATTGGTGTCACTGATTTGTCAATGTACTCCAAAGCCCATTCCAGAATGTACGGAGCCTCAGATAGTTGTTGAAGACTTACTCTGTTCAAAGAAATTAATACACATTAGTAATCTATTTAAATAAATAAAAAAATATTATTTACATATAAAACACTTTGAGCTTAGTTCTTTTTATGCCTTTAAATTATTTTACATGTAGTTATCTCAAACATTGCAACTTTTGTCTGTCACATATGATTCTGAAGGCATTTCTAGGAATATGTCAAAAATGGTTCATAAAAACAAGTCGCTATCACCGAAAGAATTTCTTACGAAAGTATGCTTTAAATTCATGGGACCTATATGAGGTTGTTATAACCAAAAAATTTGTTACAACCGAGGTAGTTATAAATGAAATTCACTATGCATATATATAAATATAATACAGAAATAATACTTACGTGTATAAATGGGAATGTTTCGCTGGATAGTAACGTAGTGTGGGCGAACGAACATTACCACAGAAACCAGATTGATTTTCACACTGTAGTACTCCAACACGCACAGACTCTAATGGCTTGAGCTGATGATAGAACAAATGCATTATAATTAATAGTTAATCTTAAATATCATAATATGTACATAAAATTAAATATCAACTCTATAATTTATGATTTTTGAAATGAAATAACGGTCATAATAAAAGTCCTTAATTTTTTTCTAAAATTGAATTCCTTTTAGTTTGTAAAGAAAAAGTTATGATTAAAAACAAAGTATTCTTGACCATTACAACTTGTTTTGATTATTTGTCAAAAAAAGGTTCTCAAAATGTCAGTTTTTTAAAATAATTTTATGAATTATAACGGTTAAATGTTTGTAACACGATAAAAACTGTTTTACTTGATTTGGTTAGTGATAAAAATATATTTTTTTTCATTAGTTAAATGTATCATTCTCTTAACATATACTATAGGTTATATTATTGAACATTGAACCTTTTTTATATTGATTCTATTATGAACATGATAGCAGTTTTAAATTATAATCACATTTTTTTTTATTAAAATAGTTCAATACAATATATAATATGAAACTGTATTTATTTTAAATTAATATATATTTATTATTATAGTAATAAAATATTCTCATGTAATAATGGTTCAAACTAACAAACAATATACATATTGTTTCTGTTATAGTAAATTTACAAAGATTATAAAATCACAAATTAATAGGAATAAATAATATTCCTTTTATGGGCTGTCTTCTAACAATATGTAAATTTTAAAAACTACGTTAGTAATTTAATTCACATTTTGTGTATATCCTCAGATTTTACTTGTACAAGTATTCATGAAGCTAGTAAAACATATGAATATGATGAGCTCACCCTTTTAGCTACTATTCTCATTTGATGCAGCAGTCTGTGACAAGTTGAACCACATTTAGGCATAAAGGCGATTAGCCATCCAACTGACCGTCTATGAACTAGGTCCATAACTTGTTCTTCCGATATTAATATATCTGGAATGATACATTAAATTTTGCAACTTACAAATGATGTAAATTAAATTGAATTAAATACATTTATAGTCTTTTAGTTAGAGAATTTTATAGAACTCAAGTTTCCGAATTAAATCGATAAAGAAACTGTAATAATTAGATATTAATTTTTTGGTAAATATAACTATCCTTACTTTCCAATGACACCTATTATTATGGTACGGAAAAAATCTACAACGACTAATTATGTCGTACCTAAGTATTTTTACCTAAGTCTATTGTAATATTGACAATACCATAGGGCATAGACAATTTTTTTTAATTTCTATCAGTTCAATAAAAAATATTGTCTAATATTATTTGGTATTACGAGCTCATTAACGAACTTACTAGGAATAGGTTCGTCGTAAAAAGTGGGAGCGAGAGCTATAATGGCTACATGTCTACAACCTATTAAAAGACTTGGGCTTGTCCAGAACTCACATTAATTAATTCTTGGAACATACTTCGAAGGCAGTCCTAGTAGGTTCGTTTAAAATTTGGTAGAGAGAGAAGCTTGGACAGTGGAGGTGAGCGAGTAACGCGTTAGATAGGGACCTCTTAAACCTACACCTGGGTCGCGAGTCCCAGTCACTGTTGAAGCTCCTCTCACTACAACGATGGACCCGACACACGCATATGAATACATTGAATGTTAATAAGTTTGTTTCTTACCTGAAGTATCTTGTACTAGCTGTATGAAGTCTACCAGTTCTTCTTTATTGATATCACCGTAGTATATGTTAGTGAGTGTCCCGTTCACTATAACAATAGATGCTTGTCCGTCCGTTAAACGACGACATTGACCGTCATTGTCTACCGTACACGACATTATGCCGAACTGGAATATAAAGCATAGAGGTTAAATAGCCGTGTTAAAAAAGTTCTTATAGATAGTCTAATGATCCTACTAATATTATAATTGCGAAAGCTTGTGAGTGTGTGTGTATGTTTGTTACTTCTTCACGCTCAAACGGCTGAACCGATTTTGATAAAATTTTGTATACAGGAAGCTGACGTCCAGGAATAACACATAGGCTACTTTACATCCCGGAAATCCGCGGGTAACACCGCGGGGCGCAGCTAGTAGAGGAATATATGTTATGGGCCAAGTGATTGATGCAGGCATTACTCATAATGCCCGGGCACTTGGCCTACATTTTTTATCATAATGAATTAGTTTAAATAATTGTTTTGGTATAACATTTCAAATGTTTTGAAAGATTCTTGAAAAACCTCAGAAAAATATATATTTTTCTTAATTTCGTCCTACCTGATGGATATTTGTACTGTTTTATAACAATTTTATAGTTGAGACTCACATTAACATCGTTATGTTCTAATTCCAAACTAACTTGTGTGAAGGGTTCAACTAGGTCTTCCCAAGGAACCCTGAATGGAGCCACGAGAAGAACCCATGTTGATGTGTCTGCAATTTCAAAAAAATAGTTTGTTTAAAAGTCTTTTCTTGTACATTATAAAATAAAAAAAATATTACTATACAATAAAATATTATATTGTATCTGCTCAAAAGAATTATTTATTTATGCAACAAAAATATTAAATTAAATGGAGGTCACAAGGGATGAATTCATTTCTTGTACACCCACTAAACTGGGAAAGCATATAATATTATAATTAGTAATATAGTTTATATTAAAACTAAAAGAGATTATGAAATTGAATTCAAAGAAATAATCCCTACTAATATTATAAATGCGAAAGTAACTCTGTCCCTTTGTCTGTTACGCTTTCAAGCCTAAACCACTGAACTGATTTTAATGAAATTTTGTACAGAGACAGAGTTGACCTTGAGAAAGAACATAGGATAGTTTTTATCCCAGACTTTTGATAGGTTCTCTTGGAAACGCGATATAACCGAACTCCACGCGGGCGAAGCTGCGGGCGGAAAGCTAGTTATACATATAATATAAGTACAATCATATTCTGAGGTAAATATTAGAGCTACCGTTTGTATAGTAGTAGAAGGACTGTAAGTTATGTGGCTATATAAGGAATATGAAACAGTAAATGAATTTTGGACAATGTTTTGGAGTTAAACTGCTATCCAAGAGTACTAAGAGTAGTTACTACGTGAACAAGAATGGAATCGTTCAAATAAATAGGAAGTAAATAAGAAAAATATGTTAGTAAGATCATTAGACACTGTAGTTGGCATACATATATATTCCCGTGAATAAAAGATAATTAAATCGACTTAAGATGTGATCAGAATTACTAAACCAGAAGACAAATCGAATGGACACACTTGTAAGGTGATTTAATTTATTAAGCAGTGCCTTTGAGGCATCCAAACAGCAAATACAGGCTTACTTTAGAAGGGCCAAAAGAGACATCTATTAATATAAACCTTACTTAACCAGATATTTAGAGCAGGAAACAGTAATCAAACAAACCTCCGTCAAGTATCCGCTTCATGTCAGCAGCGGAAAGCGTATGGAGTGAATACGCACGGGCAGCTTTTTTGATATTAGCGCTAGTGGAGGTTACCAACCTTTGGTAAGCCCCGCCCACCTTTAAAATCGACCAATCAGGTGTCTCATCAATATGGAAAGATGCACACAGCTCTGTGTTCTCGTCACAATCAATTTCACCTAAATATAAAAAAAATAATTAATAAGTATTTAATGTTACAGTACCATCAATCGTCATCAACACATATTATAAAACATAGTCTCTCACTGCGTCTGTCTGTTTGTCTGTTCGCAACAGAAAAACTACTCCACCAATTATCAAGCGGTTTTCACCACTCGATAGCGTGATTTTCGAGGAAGGTTTATACATATATAATTTGTTAAGGTTTTGTATTGATATGTGTGTATATAAAGGATATTTGTTGAAGATGTCGGGAAAAAATGAGCCATCTGTCAGATTTTAACAAAAACGCTGCCAAAACCCTTAGAGATGGAACAAAACAATGTATGGTGGAATCATACATTTTATATAGGTTTATAGAAAAGTCCAGGATGCCATATGTCTATTTCTTAAGAATAACATACTACATCCATTTTACTACTTTTGAAAATTCGATTCATGAAGCGTTTATATGAAAGCTATTTTCATAATTACAGTATAAAGTCTTATCAAAATAAATTACTTCGCGTTCAAGTCTACATCAGTACCTATAAATTACTTTTTGAATTATTTAATTTGGACGTACCATTTGAAAGTTATCATAAGTTTAATAATTCTCAAAATTAAACCCACGAGATAGCTCACTCTTTCAGATGATCACGTCATTAATGTTGAGTACATATTTTTTGAAATGTTATAATATTAAAAAAACTATTATTAGCATAAAAATGTACTGTTTTTCTAAGTTTAAACTTAAAAAAAAAATTACGAAGAAAGATGATGATTTTTTTTTGTATTGATTTAACGCAAAAAGTAAATACTCGAAGGATTATACGCAACATAGGTTATTTTATATTTTTGTAAAGTACCTCTGCGAAGCTGGGGCGGTTAACTAGTAATGTCATATATACTTGATTTAAAAACATTTGTTACAATATATAAAATAATTAATTACCAAAATTCATGTCAACCAATTCAACTCTTAGTTGATGCAACAACAGTTTGTCATCCCCTTTCTTGAAGAAAAATAGAACCCACGGTTTGTCATTGCCATTTCTTAAATTATTTCTGATTGTCTGAAAAATTCATAATAAAAAGGTTTGGTATATATATTATATCGTCGGGGTCCTGGGATAATACAAATCCGCGTAACTAACATTGGGTAATTCAGCGAATCTACATTGGAAGCCGATTATCAAAAGAAAGTTTAAGCTGAAATTTAAATGAATACTTGCGAAAATCTTAGATCTCACTTTAAGCTGAAATATTTTTTATCTTAACGACTTTTAAGGTAATTTTTCACAATTAGGATTAAATGAAACACTAAATATTTAGTAATAACTAGAAGACCTGGTGAACTTCGTTACGCCCTATAATCAAGAAATATCTATTACGTTTTTTTATTTATATTTTTGGAGTTTACCTGTAAGCCATAAATCCCCGTGTTTTGAAGTGCGACAGAATGATTGACATATTATTTAGTTGTCAAATCTAATGTCAAAAAAAACGTTTGTATGGGAAATAGAAAAGGGCTGTTTTTATGGTTTTCCCAGTAATGAATCAATTTTTTTCAACTTTTATACCTTCCCTGAACCCCCACGAACATTTCAAGACTAAGATAAGATAAATCCGTTCAGCAGTTCTCGAGTTTTAGCGAGACTAAGGAACAGCAATCCATTTTTATATATATAGAAGATAGAAGATATACGACAACCCCATATATATATGTAATATATTTATAAGAGAAAGGTTGAGTTAAATATTTTACCTTCAAATTGTTCAATCCAATCTTCTGTATCGTTGGCAATGAATTCAGAACACTGTTAATGATATTCGCTTCCCCTAAGCTAGTAATGTCTTTGTGTGTTTGTTTATATTTAAACACAAATATAGCTTCATCATTATCAGTCAGTTTTCTACGTATAGCGTCACCCGCTTTAACTACAGTGGCTATGCCATTCTGAAAGAAATATTAAAATCTAATATAATACTTCTTCTACCTGGCAATTTCCCAGCTTTTGCCAGGGTCTGCCTTACATGTTGTGAATAGTTTTGTCTAATTGTTTTTACGACCGGCCGCTGCCTGACATCAACCCTCTTTGGGAATGCAATTAATAAGTGATGTCTTAATACTCTTAGATAGTACATATGACTCGGAAAAATCACATTGGTACTTGCCAGGATCGAACCCGCGCCCTCATGCATAAGAGGCGGGCCTTTTAACAACTAGGCAAAACACTGACTTTACAATCTAATATAATACATAGCGCTTAATAGCCACCAATTGCCATCATAGCCGGAAACGATTTCCAATATAAGACTACAGCATTTTATAGTTCAAACTACACTTTATATTAACATTAATGACATGACAAATAAAATATATAAAAACTTTCCATTAATATAGTTAGGCTACAAGAGCTCATTTGTTAAAATAGCTGTGATTTGATATACAGTAACTGTGGGTTTGAATTCTGCTTGAATTAGAATTTTTGGTAGTTATTTCATTATTAAAGAATTAAGCTTGATATTAGTTAAATAATACTATATAATATATATGTAAGTATGACTCACCAATTGAAATGCTATCCTTATAATCATTTCATCTGAAATAGCATCCTCGTCCAGAACATACAATGTGGGTTGATTTGTACTTCTTACTTGATTTACTTTAACTATATTTATCCTATTATTTAAATATTTAAGAACAAACTTTTCTAAAGCCTCAAATGTATGGGCGCCATTGTAATATATGAAACTTCCTTGTTTACCCTGAAATTGTTATACATGTAAGATTAAAAAATTTATAGAACACAATTTTTTGGTTTTTAGTTAAATATAGATTTAAAATTGATTATACACTACAGGAATATTTATGGAAATTTTATAAATATATATAACATTCGATTAAAAAATAACAGAAGTCTTTTAATCTAGTTACAGGATCTACCTCTATAGCAAAAACGTGTCCACTCAAACTTCTTGTTTAATTTATGCTTCATGTAGAGGGCGCTAATAGCTATTCAGTATAAATTACTTGCATACAGTTTTTTAGCAGTCATATAAAAATGCGCTCAAACATAACTTTTGTTTTGAAAATGATATCTTTGTTGGTTGTAATTTGTAAACATAAGAAGATAAAAACAATTAAAGTTTTTGTGGTACACTTAACATTTTATTTTATAGCAGCATCCCATACAAAATAGCATTTTATCACATAATTTTGGGGTAATTTTTGCGATAGAATTATGGCTAGATTCTTTGTGCAAATATTACTTATGCTTTCATTTTATATCATATAAAATAAACAATTATTATAAAAGTGTTGTCAACTCACATATGGATAGAAATATAATGATGGATAACTAGAAATTCTCATGTTATTGTAGCAGAATGAATTGTGATATTTACAGTTGACAGCTGCTACTTTGACCTGGAAAAATAAATTACATTCTTTGTCAATTTAATATTATGTTGTGGGTACAAATAATATTAATTTTGAGGAACATAAAGATATTTTGAAAAAAATACTATGGTTTTTTAATATAAGAAATATTGTATTGGCTTATATTTGTAAACTTTGAACTCTGTTTTTTAAATACTTACAATTCCTTTATAGATTTGAGCCAATTTCTTCCAATGATTTGCCAAATTTTGACATGGTGGACAAAATGGTGAATAAAAGTTGATGAAATACAGACCTTCATTTAAATATTGATCTGGAAATTAATTTAAGAAAGTATGAATAAAAAATAATTATTGGGTAATAAAAACTTATTTCACTGTGGTGCTATTGAACACACAAATATGACATTTAAGTTAATTTATGTACTTTAAAATTATATTGACACAACTGTCTTGAACAAATGGAAAAAAAAATATTTATATGTATATTATAAAAACATATATATATTTTTATTGTAAAATTATATGAAAATACATACCTAACATATGAAGTAGAAATTAATTAGGAATGTTTTGTAATTATGAGCCCTTTTTAAAACTTCATGTAAGAATTAGTATCCAATAGATACAAATTAGGACAAAAATGTAGTACAAATATTATTTTTATCAAGTAAAAGACTTTTTGGAGATGAACATACATTTGGTAATATAATATAATATAATTGAAAAACTAATTATTTTATAATACTTACAGAATTCCCTCCCCGATAAAGTCTTTACATAAGGATTATCATGGTAAAGACCATTGTAATATAAATTATTATATTCTGTTTGTGAATGGTAATCATATTTTCTTGTGTATGATTGCTGCGATCCATACAAATCATAATGTCGTCTTTTATTTGGATCTTTTAAAATTTCATATGCCTCTGTAATTTCTAGAAATTTCTTTTGTTCTGTCGAATCCTGTAAATTATAGGAGTAGAATAATTGTGATTAAAATTATTAAAAAAATAAGAATGTGATATGTATATATTTTATAATTTAGTATAGTTTGTAATTTTTAACAATACTCAGGTAAATCTATATAAAAATTATTCTCTTAACTCGATATTGTTCTTGACCTGATACACCCACTCACACCTACAAGTTTCATAAGTCTGTAGAAACTTCTATTTAAGTGTGTGCAATGGTACAAATCTTATAAGATTATTAATAATAAAATATAAATAACAATTCCTAATTAAAATTACTAACATAGTTTAAAATAACGTTTTCTGATAAGAATAATTTTAAGTCATAATTATGTTAAAAATGATAAAAAACTTACCGAATTTTTATCAGGATGTAATTTAACAGCAAGTTTTTTGTATGCTTGCCTTATCTCTTGTGTAGTCGCTTGTTTAGATACCCCCAATATTTCATAGTGCGACACATCACTCAAATTAACACATTTTAATAAAAGAACAATTAATAGGATTTTCAACCTAAAATAATAACACGTTAGTCAACAATAAGTAACAAAATAATGTATTAACTATAGAGAAATTTTATTTTTATGTTTTAATATATTCTTAATGCATAAAATTTATCTTATTATATTTACTAAACATGAATTACTTACATTTTCATTATAAAAACACTGATACTATATTATCGAATATAGTTTTTTCTTTTTAATATAATGTAGGACTAGGTGGACATCAGATGTACACAAAACCGAGCTATTGATTACAAATTATAACTAATAGTTGTTAATTCATAAATACTCTTTTCGATAAAGGTTACTAATATTTAAAAAAAAATTGAGATTCGTCAGCCGTCAAACAGTCGGCGAGAGGCTGGTTTGGAAGGAGCCAATCAGCTGTTGCTTCTATAGTCTATGACATTTTATGCTAAAGTCTGTTCTACAGTCTATGGAGAGTCGTAAGGAATATAGTCTGCGCTGTAACAATTTAATATTAGCATTTAATATTTATAAAAATGCACTTTGACCCATTATCGATTCAATTGATTAATTGCTTTTAAGTAGCGATGTTAAAGTTGATTTTCATAGGATTTCTAATTCTATCATTACTTATTTTAGGGCCCAATTAATGTAAATGTTGTCATTGTTATAATACACATTTTTTCTAAACTAGAAGACTTTTTTGTTTAATTTTGTTTTTTTTTTTTTAATATGGCGGATCATGGATAAGTTAAGTTAATTACAATGTTTTCAAATGTTACTTTTGAGTAAAGTATACTTGGAATAAAGTTATATTATTTTTATAGCACAATGTTGCAGATATATAAAAATATATACCTTCATTCAAACGTTGGTAATTTATATTAGCTCTACCACGTTTTATACGTAATTTTTTTATGTATTTACGAGTATATCCTCTGTTCCGGTCGCAATCAAAAGCATTGCTTTAAGTGATTGCTTTATAAAATATGAATAGTACTTGTCTTGCCTTACTAGTTATAATATTATTATTAGTTGTCAGAAAACAGCCTGGATTTTGTTTTCGTCTGTATTGTTATTTTAAACAAAATATAAACGAACTAAAGGAGTGACAAGATTCTTGAGACCAACTAAAAGAACCATTCCTTTACACCAAACGAGTATCTGAACTTTTTTCTGACTATGGCTTGTCATACATTGGACAGAAAAAGCGGAGCATCGTTACACCGTACAAGGGTTAAATAATATATCTAAGATATTAAAAATTGGACTTCGTCGGAGTCAGAAGTGGCTGCATATACGGTGGGTAGGTAAAACTATTCCTATATCCACTTCGACAAACTATAGCTCCTTGCTTGTAAAGACAAGTTTAGACTGAGATTAAGAGAGGCTATTGAAATTCAAGACAACCTAATTTTAATACAGAAGGGGGCTGGAAATTATTCAACACCTAGGATCCTTTCATAACAATTTATGAGCAAAATTTGTCCATGACCCTACTACGTCACCGAAAAAGTAAGCCCATTCTGCGTGCACATATATGCTTCTATATACATATATATACAATAATCTTTAGAAGTAACTAGATGACAAAAAACAAAGTTTAATAATCAAACACTTTCATCTCCTCTGCCTTTGATCACTGTTACTGAAAATTTGTCGAAACTTGGCTTAAAATATTGTATAAATATTAAACGTGAAAAGCATACTTACTTCTATTTAGTTCTACACAAACTTTTTTCATTTCAATAGGAGATGAGTATGACAATGTTTTTGATCAGTTATTCTTTTTGTATTACAAATTACTCATTAATTGTATTGGAATATGTAAATGGAGATCAAGAATAAATAATAAAACAATAGGTTTTCAATATAATATATTCCTCACCGAAAATTTCAATCACTTATTAAACACAAACCGCGTATATAACCAGCATTCCGATTTCCGATAACAAGAGATAAAATATACATTAAATATATAATTTATTTAATACATAGACAAGAACTATATTTTTAACTTAAGTCAATATCACAATACTAAATAAACTAACAATTATTAAATACTATTATTAAAAACTAAGTTAAAAAACTATTTCAAGAAACAAAGTGCGGATTTTATAGTTTTAACTGAAAATTGTATATTAATTTGTTTAAGAAAAAATCACAAAATTTTCATCAGTATTTCAATCTTTTACAGTCCCAAGTAATTATTTATAGGTAAAATTTGACTTCAAAGCCACTAAAAGAATGAGTTTTTTATAGTCAATGAAAAAAGTTAAATACTTAATTAACTTTGTCACAATACAATATTATCTAAAATCACAGTTGATTGTCAAGCATTGCGACAAGATTTCATTAATTCTATATTAACTATTGTAGTAAATTTAAATAAAATATAGTAATTCGATTTACAATCAAAATTAGCGCAGTATTTAAAAAGGTCATTAGATTTTTTTGCATTTAATTATTTACTATGTACATTATTTTAAATGCATTTATCATAGTGCTGAGGTAAACGAGAAGAAAATCATTCGATCAACAAATAATACCTACATTTGATCTAACCAAATCATTATATAAACTTAATTACACTTTTTAACTCTACGCTGTAACGAGAGAAATGCAATTATCCTAAGTAGTATTAATTCTACAAATATAATGCATACATCCTGCCAATAGTTTCCAGGCTGCATATCTAGTTCTTTGAGGATCGTTGTGGGATATCTGAAAATGTTATATAAAAAATAAGTTTTGAATAACACAACCCATGAAAGAAATGAGCAGAATTCAGAATACCTATTGTTCACAACAAAAATATTTTTTCCGGAGTCTAAATAAAAGAATATGCAAAATGGTAAATAAATAAATACTAGTCGAATTTTTGGTCACCCAAATTGGTTTATGTAAAACAAAATTGACCTATATGTGACAATTATTAAATTTTGTTTTGATTAATATCATATGCAATGAATTAAAGTTTTTTTCTTATAAGAATAATATTATTATGAATTCTTATTCTTATGTTAACAAATACTCACTTGAGATGACAGTATATCTTATCTTCACCACACGTAAGTGCTGTTCTGTCGAAGGAGTACATAGAGAGTGTAAGCGCTTCGTAAGCCTGTTTCATGAAAGACCCATGCGCTACAGGTTGGAGTATTGGCGGCATATGAGATGGTATCACGAGGAAACCAGCGAAAACTATCATGACGCAGGTCGTTATCGCTCCCAGGAATGTACCATTCTGATTTTGGACATAAAAGTACACATGTTATAATTATTTTTTTTATTATTTATCTCCTTGGTAGGTGATTATTGTATATTCGAGTATTCTCTCTGGGTTCTATTGTGGGAAGAATAAGAAAGGGCAATAAATTCAGAGAGATGGAAAGTTACGGTTTTTGGGGCTTACACTCAAGAAGGAATGGCAACTAAAACTTTCATTTTAACAAAAACTGATAGTACTCCAAAGCTAATTTCAAGCTACAATTTATTCAAAATTTATCCATAAATTCTGGGATATTTTTTTCAAACTTACAATAGGATTGACGCAAGAACCAATGAAGATGCCAATCGTATCTGCTAAGAGAGATACATGTGAAAGGATGAGAACGAACATCGCGAAACGATGTAACTCTATCGGCTGTCCGCTGAGAAGATACGCTGGTATTGAGTATATTAAACTGTAGGAGATCTGAAAGTATAATTCTAAATGAATAATCGCGAAAGTCTCATTAAGCGAAATTCTTTTACAATTTAAGAAATTTATAATTTGAAAGTATGTGGTGTAACGGTATTATTATTTTAACCTTATTTCGAATATATAATATATTAGGTGGGTGCGTATGAAATGTCGGATTCTCTTTACATGCGGACGTTTCTCTCCCTGTTTTCGTTATACTTTTGTCTTCGGCATAACCTTATTCACAGTCGTATTGTCCATTGCCAGAGACTCATTTCAGCAAAATAGGTTTTCTCGAAGGTCTTCCCTTTTGTTATTTCTTTTGAGTTTATTACTTATATGAATTCTGCCGACATTCGAGTCATTTTCTTATATGAGTACAAACTTGGTAATAGTGCTGCAAAAACTGCACGCAACATAAACCAAGCATTTGGGGAGAATACGATTAAAGATCGGAAAGTGCAGCGTTGGTTCAAAAAATTTCAGACTGGCGATTTTTCACTGCAAAATGAGCCGCGCGGAAGACCCAAAACGTCTGTGAATAATGATGATCTGAAGGCTCTAGTAGAAGCGGATCCAGCGGTATCCACGAGGGAACTTGCTATCAGGATAAAAGTTGACCATACAACGATATTGAGACACCTTTCTGAGATTGGCAAGGTTAAGAAGATGGACAAGTGGATGCAACGCTCGGCCGCATACATCGCACAAAACAATTGCGGAACTGAACCAACTGGAATATGAAGTTTTGCAGCATCCACCATATTCACCGGATCTCTCGCCGACCGATTTTCATTTTTTCAAGCATTTAGAGCTGTTTTTAAGGGGCAAACACTATGAAAATGAAGACAGTCTAAAAAACTCGATATCAGAGTTTATTAATTCTAAAGACCAACATTTTTTTAAGACAGGCATCTACGCTTTAAAATCTCGTTGGGAGAAGTGTATTGAAGCGAATGGAGCATACTTTGATTGAATAAACAGATTTTGAATAAAGATATGCAGTTTTATACAATCACTTAAGAATCCGACATTTCATACGCACCAACCTAATACATAATTTTTCGATCAAATCCGTTTTATACTGTATTGCATTGTAGAAATGGAATAAACATGTTACCTACTCTAGATTCAATGTTAAGTTTAAGATATCTTAAAGTGGAATAAGAAATGAATGTAGCAAGATAAATTTTGTTACCTGTATTGGTGTATTCGTCACTAGCACTGCGATATAGTAAGTTTTGAGATTGTACCAGTTATTAAAATGTTCTTTCTTCAACACTGGTAATTCATCAGGAACTAAAAATATAATTTATAAAATTAATTAAATAAACTTTTTTATTTAATAATGTAATGTAAATAAATATCACATTGGTAAATTAGTTCATTGACTTTTTTCTTGGAATGTTCTCAAACTTTTCCCAAAACTTAAAATTCTAAGCGCTATTTGTTGCCTCTAAGTTCTTTTGTGAAATTCGGTTCTATATAAGTCTTTCTTTTTAATATTTTCCTTTGATTACACTTTCATCTTTCGTCTTTTATCTTTTATCCTTTATTCTTTATTGTACTTCGTAAAATTTTACCGACCTACATCTATTTTAATCATTACCTGCAAGCTATATCATATACTTTCTCCCTTGCTTTTAAAAAACTATGATGTTACGTTTTGTCAGGGTTCGTGTTTGGCAACAAAAAGTGTTAAAGCAAAATAAAAGAAAAATAATAATTTGTGTCTTCCTGATTTCAAAGACACTTTAGGTTCCGAGTTTAATTTTTTGGTGTTAATTTCTATTCTTAATATGTACCTATGTATGTATGTTTCTTCGACATTTTCTACGTTAGACTTTTTTAAAAGTACCGTGAAGTTAATACCTAAATTGAAATTCAAATAAGAAGTATCGAATGAAAAGTTAATCTACAAAGCAATTAGATACGCAATATTCGGAAGTTCCACAGTTTTGAGTCACATTCATGTTAATATTTTTTATTCACTGTTTCCGAGGTACGTTATCGTATATTGAAATTTAATTTTTGGTTCTTCTCATCATCAATAAGGAATTGTTCAACTGACCTACTTATTTAACTGTGTTAATAATTCTTGCAATTAAGATAAGATCAATGCCAAATCTGATTTAATTTCGTTTCATTTCCGTATATAACCTTAAACCATAAATGGAATTGATGATTGAGGTTTCTAAAGATCAATTCAATCAAGTTAACAATATTTGATTAAATATTTAAAATATGTCTTGTTGACTCATATTCGTATAGATGTTCACAGTAAACTTTATGTTTTTTTGTTAATTTCCTACTGCAACTTTTTTTCCTGAATCGTTTTTTTTAAATAGTAAATTTTCTTATTTTTTCTTCTTATTTTTCTATACGGTAAATAGTCCAGTTTTAATGTGTCATTTAAGAAACTTGTTTGGTTTTCAGTAGGTTTGGTTTTAATTTTTTAGTAATTTAAAAAAATGTGATGACATATATCATAAAACTGGCGTCGCAGATCAACCATCATTTTTCCGTCTCTTTCATTTCCTCATACTTTTAATGCCTCTTCAAGCTATTGGTTTCCGTGCTAATTTTTCCTCGTTTTTAGTAATTCGTTTTTAGTTATATATGTCTATATTTCGTTTATATAATTATCTTTTCATACACAAAAATGTTAAAAATATGTGTAATTGAGATAGGTGGTTTAAATTTTCAATAATTTGGTCAATTTAGGCACACTTACATCTAAGTACTGCTGGCATGAGCGATGTATAACAGAGGTAGGTAGGTGATATAATGAGGAAGCCAAGGTTACTGAGAGTTCTGGAAGCATCATTGCCGACGTTATTGAAGAACAGTCCCAACATACTACCGATGATTACATGGATAACCAGCCTAAGAGGAACTACTGTCTGTGAATATAACGAAGTAAGGTAAACATTTGATAAACAATAAAAATAATGATACTCATTATACTCTTTATAGTTGTTACAAATTATATCCGTAGGTAATTAAAAAAGAGCAATATAAATATAAAATAGAGATAAAGGTATATAATTACCCAATCACGGCACTGTTGCATGACACACCTTTTGAAGAGTACTTTGAATTTGTAAAATTCGTAAGGTCTATTTATTACTATGGTCATTTTTTCATTAGATAGTGCTGGGCGGTTCTCTATTGGCAGATCCGGAATACGCTCACATAGTTTTTCAGGAACACAGTTAGCCGTTAGAACGTCATTGAGTTTACCATGTTCACCATTTGCTAGTTCTAAAACTGTAATAAAGTTTTGACATTAAATATTTGGTTAAAATGTATTGTTATATCATATTAATCAAGGTTATACGAAGTGTAATGAGATCTGAGGTTTTCGCGAGTCTTATGTATTTAAATGAAACTAATACATATTTAGCGGGTATACAACGCGACTTTATTTTTCATAAAAACTACATGCTCCCGACGTTTCGGATACTTTACAGCAATCGTGATCACGGGCAGATGAGATGTGTAGTATGAGTATGTATGTAGTTTTTATCAAAAATAAAGTTGCGTGGTATATCCGCAAAATATCAGTTTCATTTAAATTGTACGAAGTTTGTTTGCTTACTGTAATCCGCTGGATTGTGGTATTTGGGACATACTAGACCAAGACTAGCTAGATGTGGGACTGTGTGAGAACTGGGTCCTCGATAGATACACTGACCTTCGGCCAACACGTATACCTGAAATGCACATACGTTAAATTATTAGGTACTATATATATACTAGGTTCGTTTCAAAGTTGTTTAGATAGAGGAGCTAGGACGGTAGAGGTGAGCGTTTAACGTGCGTTAGATATGTGTTCTTAGACCTACACCTGGTTTGGAAGTCCCAAGCACTGTCGATGCTCCTCTCTCTAAAACGATGAACCCGGCACCGGCACGGTAAATACATTGAATGATGAGAAGTTTCGTCTCTTAATTATGAATTAAATGCGTAGCGAAACTATAAACATTTTGCTATAACAATTTTATTCTCATCATTCATAGATATTTATAGAAACAATTTGTATTCATGAATTTTAATTGCTAGATATTTATACCTGATCGAACATTTTATATATAGTAGCAGACGGTTGGTGAATTGTGCAGATTATAGTTCGTCCGACTCGTGCGAGATTTTGTAACAATTCCATGCATTGTTTTGATGACACACTGTCTAGACCTCTGAAATGTTAAAGCGAGTTTCAGAAATATTGAATATTAAAGTATTAAAGACAAATTTTTAATATAAAAAATACGAAGAGCTGTTGGACTTGTTTTATAAGACCTAATTTTAAATCGTGTTGTATTATACAGATACAAGTTTTTTTCTATTTATAATAACAGCCATTAACTGTTTTTATGTGTAAGACATGAATACAATAGCATAAAAAAGGATGATAGTCTCGATACAGACATTTAAAAATATAATACCTGATAATTGGATATGAATTTAATAATGCGATTTAATTATTATAGTAATTATACCATTTATATTTTATTTCAATTTTTATTATATACTAAATAAATGCAATAATAATTTGTGTGGGAATCTTCTCACAATATATTTTTAATCATTATCAAACGACCACGTCTTTATTCTTAATACAAGTCTCCATCGTAAGAGTTTTTCATTCACAAATTTTGGAACATAAACGAAACAATTAATTAAAAAATTACAAACTGGAAATTCTTTATAGATAGTTTGAAACGAAAACTTGTAGTAAAGACACAAATAGTGATACTAAAATAATAACAAGTTCATACAGCGGTATATTGAGTTTATGTGTGGGTAAAACATTACGTATTTCTCAACTTCTTCCATAATAAACGACTTTATGTAGTGCAATTATTATAATTAAATTAATTGTTATATTAAATCTATATTTTATATACACAAGAAAATGAATTCTCTTGTATTTTTGTATTAAACCAAGGCTATTTACGTAATATACTAATAGTAGTAACTAGATAATGCAAACAAAAATAAGTCATTTGTGTAATGATACTATCATTAAAAGTCCCACGGTTATAAATGTCTGCTCTATTGTAATAATATTTTTGTCGTATGTATTTCATCCGAATGAGGATGTTTGTTATTATTTTCAATTACAATATTAGCGTGAATTTTGTCTCTAGTTGTTGCTATAAAACAATTTCATAAAAATTATTATATTTAATTCTTTATCAGAAGGAGGAAATCATACAGCGTTTAGTTTAAAATCAGCGTAGTTTATGGGTATTTTTGATTATATGATAGTTCATATAATTACGCAATTTTACAAAATACTGTGTTTTTATCTAAAATTGTTTAAATTCCTAATTAGAAAAATACATTCCACGATAGAAATGCAGTTTCGAATTTTGTATATCGTTATAATGAGCTAATTTTAAAACCATTGCAATTTTACTAATTAAATAAATTTGGATGTTCAGTGATTAATATTGATATCACATTTATCTATATACGTTCAAAGTTTTTCAAGCTATTGTACCTATAGCTTTTATATCAGGCTTTGAGCAAGACGACTGAATGAAGAAATTCAATAACGAAATCTAACACCTAATGTCGAATTTCGTTTAAGTTCGCAGACTTCGGTAAATTGTGTGGGTGCGAATGTATGTATGAGCGTAGACTATCTGCTAACTAATGCTATCTCTTTTAGATAGTACAATGCTAGGTGAGATAGCATGCTTTTTTGCGACGTCAACGAGTGAGGTCTAGCCTTTGACTAATTGAACCTTACCGCGTATATGTCGTGATAAAATTTAATTTGCGAAAAATATTGAATCAATAAAATTGCTTGAGTTGATAAAAAACGCTATGCAATAGCATTACCGCTTCTGTCTCCGAGTGACAGATGTATTTCTTTATTAATTTTGTATCTTTATCATTCATCTTATATAACCTTACTTCATTTTGATTTTTTCAATAGGGATTTACAGGTTGTGAACATTAGGTTGAAACTTTGTATGAGACTTTTCTTGCAGGTTATTTAAAAGAATTTATATCGAAATAAAACTTCTTATGCTACCAGAAGTTCGTCATCAGAACACTATTATTGGCGCAAATTAGTTTTTTAAACTTACGTGGTAGGCTCGTCAAGAAATAAAACTGGTGGATTGTCAATAAGTTCCACGGCAATGGAAAGTCTTCTTCTTTGTCCACCTGATAGTTTACTACATGGAGTGTTTTCAGTTCCAGTCAGACCTAGGGTTTTCAGTACATCCGATATCTACAAGCATAACGTGTTTCAATAAATAAAATTCAAGTTTCAAATTGATGTCTAAGTATTGCAATCATTAGCAATGATGATAGATTGTAGTTTACTAAAATAATACACAAAGAAGGATATTTTTTTATTATTGAAATTAAATCATAATGAGATCTAAGATTTTCGCGAGTACTCATTTAAATGTAACTAATATTTTTCGGATTTTACTTCGCGTTTTATTTTTGATTAGAACTACATACTCCCGACGTTTCGGCTACTTTTCTGCAACCGTGATCACGGGCAGACGAGATGTGAGTGACAGACACTCACATCACGTCACGTCTGCCCGTGATCTGAAAAATAAAACGCGAAGTAAAATCCGAAAAATATTAGTTTCATTGAAATTAAATCATTTTGAAAGTGAATAAACTTAAACAATACTAACAACAGAATTTTTTAACTTCTGCGTAAATGTATCGCCTAATTTTAAATCCGCAGCGAATTGCATTTGTTCGGAGACCAAAAATAAAGGATTTAGCTTATCGTCTTGCAGTATGTAGCACGACTTCTTGCGATACGCGTTCAAGGTTTGATATGAATTAGTTCTGTCAAAATCACATACGCTGTTGCCAGCTCGTATCAAACCCTTCACTCCTTTTAATCTGTAACAATATTTCAAATCAATTTTAAACCAAAAAACTGGTAAAGCATAAAATAAGTATATATTTGACGTGACGTTAGTTGGAGTGACCGTGAACTGTATACAAAGGTTTCGAAAACTTAAGAGTTAAAGAAAAGTTTTTAGTAAATAATTTCATCCAATATATACCATATCACAGTATACATCGTCTAACAATAATCCTTTTATTATTTTATTATTATTGAACACTCATCAGTATGATTTAGATGAAATAATCAAACAACAAGACAGTAATAAAGTATCTTACATTGCAAAACTCATTATAAAAAACCATTTATTTCAATAAATTTAAAGATGTTGAATTAATTTTATAAGAAAAAAGAAATCTTTTTAATGAAGTTATATTATAACTAGCTTTCCGCCCGCAGCTTCGCCGCGTGGAGTTCGGTTATATCGCGTTTCCAAGAGAACCTTTCAAAAGTCTGGGATAAAAACTATCCTATGTTCTTTCTCAAGGTCAACTCTATCTCTGTACCGAATTTCATTAAAATCAGTTCAGTGGTTTAGGCGTGAAAGCGTAGCAGACAGACAGACAGACAGACAGACAGACAGAGTTACTTTCGCATTTATAATATTAGTAGGGATAGCATTGATGCATGACTCGTAATTGAGAAACGAACAATAAAATGATAGCCCCATAAAGTTTAAGATGTATGGTTACTCATTAATTAAGAAAATATAAAACAATTGAAAAAAGGACATTTATAGTTGAACAAAGATCATTGAAAAAATTATTGTCTTGTAAAGATTATTGCAATATATCCATGTGTTTAATCCATCTAAATATTTTAGTTTTATTAGTAAATTCAATAATGACGTCATTTTTATATTTTTTATAAATTAATGTTATAGACGAAGGATTGTTTTGAATTTATCGTTTATTTTGAATAGAAATGGGATTTTATTTTAAGATAGATATTTTCATCTAGCAAATTAAAGTTTCTGTATGTATGTTATTTCCCCTTTTTTTAATTTCTCAGATATGCTTTTTGGAATAGATGGATTTTGTAGTGGTTAAGATACAAAAATTTTCCTATTTAGTAGTTTTTTAATGTCAGTGCATAAAAGTTACACATGAACATTATCTTCAACAAATTTTAATATATACAACTGATGGTTTTTCGAATTAAAAATATTCTTCGGGTAATTGGTTCTATAAATATCAAATAACGTACGAAAATCCTGTAAGTGCGTTAAGGAGTGATGTCTTGCCTGCTCCAGACGGTCCCATTATGGCTGTTAGCTCCCCGGACTTAAAATGTCCGGAAATATTATTTAAAATAGTCTTTTTATCTGAAACAAAAGAAAATATATCAGTTTCCCTGTGAATATTTTGTTAAAATATGTTGTATTAGACGAAAACTGTATAAAAATTATTATCATAAATTTTATTTCTATTTGAATATATATTAGAATATACAAAGAAAAGCAAGTCTACAAAAAATAATTCTTAAAAATACACATACAAACACATACACACACTCATAAATTGTACATTTTTGTAAATTATTAATTATTTTCTTATACATTAAATTTATTTTTTTATTTACCATCTATACAGGGTGACTGGTGAATTACTATCAATATTTAAGGAGAATACTCGGTACATGATTCTCATTCGAATTATGTAAAAAAATAGGCACTTAATTTTTGACAAAATTTCCGTATAAATAAATAAAGTGTTGACACGTTCCAAGTGTTCCTAGTGTGGACGCGTGCGGCGGCGTGCTGATACAACACTACGCCGCCGTCCGCGTATGTGTGAGTGTGAGTGTATACCTAATCTGTAGGGTGTTCATACGATGCGTAATTAATTACACAACTTTTGGTTAACTTTACTTAGAAGTTTATTAATATTTATGTTATATTAATTTTTATTTTGTCATATATGATCGTCAAATATCACGTCCTCAAGTATCGATAGTAATTCACCAGTCACCCTGTAGAATATCGTCATACAACAGGCAGAGGAGTTATAATATAGGTAAAGATAAAATAAATATGTATATAAAATAAATAAATATATAATATAAAATTAATATTTATGATAAGTTAGATTGTTCGCTATTGATTTTCCACTACGAACTACGTAATACACTAATTAATTAGATTAAAATACATTTTTAAAACTATTATTATAATATTTCGAAAATTATAAAAAAATATTTGCGTTTGAACTGAAATAAGAACTATTACAAAGTTTGAAATGGTGTAAAAAATCCTCAACTACTAAACAGTTTTATTATTGAAAATTTTATAGATTTTTAAGTAAAGCACTCTAATTTCGAATGTAGTTCGTGACTTAGTTTTGTTCGTATTCAGTAAGAATGTATAAAAACATAAACTGATGAACTACTTAATAAATTGCTAAAAATTTAAACATTATGTGTATGTATAGTTTAGTAAAAATATTCAGACGTTTTAATACACGACGCATCCTTAGAAACTGGTTAACCAGTTTAGTTAAATTTAAAGAGAAAGAAACAAAAGTAGTTATTATATTACGTAGATGTGAGAAAACACACATTGTTTCTTATAGAAAAGCAGTTTACCTTATAAATATATTTTATATTGTTATTTAGCATGTACTTGGGTATATTATTATATTGTTAATATTTTTCTCAATAACATATTTTCCTCTTAATATTTTCTCAACAAGTTTAATGGGAAAATGTCTATTATTTATCTTATATAAAATTTTATTTCCAACCAGCAAAACGCTCTTTCGTAGTAGAGAATAAAATGAATACCACTTAATTAAATAAATCAAAAATAAATAAATCATTAGGCTTGACAAAAAAAGAATCCATTTAAATTTTAAATATTTTTTTAAGTACATTTTTTTCTTTATAGAGCCGAAAAAATGATTTGCATATATTATGATGGCATATATTTTTCTTCGATGTCAAATACCTTCGCAAGGTCGTTCATATTACGTTTAATTGTCAGTACGAAGGCTACCCTTCACGTGTTTCATCTCGTTCACGTCTTAAACGAGTCTAACCAGTATCAAATTAATCTTATAGAAACTATTTGAGCCGATTATTTAATAAACTCAAAGATTTTACTCTTTGTTTTTTGTATAAATCAGTCGATTTCCGCTCACATTTATTTTGGTACAAATAAAATATATAAGTGCACTTTCAGTTCTTCAAGGCTGTGATCTGTGTAAACACAAAAAATTATATAAGACATATCGGAAGCGTTTTTAAATTTCCACGTTCTCATATAAAGCCCTTGATCTGAATATTTACCATGCTCCTAATTTTAAGAGTATTGGAATCTCATTATTACGAGGCCCTTTGAATATTTAATTTATGTTAAAAAATATAATTTATTACTTATAGTGCTAGATGGAAAAAATGTTGTCGTAATATTCGCTCTCTATGGGACAATAATAATTGAATATTTTACATAATTATAGTAGAGTATATTTAAATACAATAAACATGACATAAAATTATTATCAAAAATAAATGGTTTAGATGCATTTTCTATACCAATATTTTCATTTTGTTCCTTTGGTACCGGAGATAAGTACTTATTAAATACTAGTTTTTGCCTGCGACTTCGTCCGCGTTAATTTCGTCATTAGAAATATAGGTATAGCTGACCGGGCAAACTCTATTCCGTCTTCAATAACCCGGTATTGGTATTTATTAAATTTCTACTGTTTCAATCGAACAGAATGATTGACATATTAGTTAGTTGTCAAGTCTAATGTCAAAAAATCGTTTGTATGGGAAATAAAAAAGGGCTGTTTTTAGGGTTTTCCCGGCAATTATTCCAATTTTTCACACCTTTTAAACCTTCCCTGGACTTCCAGGAGTATTTCAAGACTAAAATTAGACAAATCGGTTCAGCCGTTCTCGAGTTTTAGCGAGACTAAGGAACAGCAATCCATTTTTATATTTATAGAAGATAACAATGTCAATTTAGTTTTCTTTCTAACTTTGCATAACTTATCATCTAAAACACATTTTTGCAATTGGTAATAAGTATTGATATCAATTATCTGTTTTATATATTATGTGTAAGAAATTGAAAGTTAGACAGAGATGTTCGTAAGTTATCATGTACCGGGAAAATAACTTGGTAATACTAAGATTATTACATGTATTTAATCAAAATAAACGGTTGTAATTTCCACATGTCATAGGTATTTCAAGATCAAAATTATCCGACAGTAATTCCACTTTAAATACCGAATGTTTCAAGAAAATAAATACGAAGTTATACATAGGTATAATATGTTAAAATTGTAAATGTCAAATCAAACAGTTCTATGCATAAATATGCATTACGTACTTTAACAAATTATAGAAGGCATGTTAATAAATCATGACTCATATCCACGCACCTCAAATCAAATTATCAAGATATCAATATATTGCAATATTGGTTGCCATATCAATATTAGCAAAAAATATCTTTTAAATGTGCATATATATTTACGGATATATATGTACCATTAAGATCTGTAGAGATAAAAGAGCGAGGTGATTTAATTATTTTGTTAATGAAGCGTGTTATACTTATGAAGAAAATAAAAAATATTTTGTTCGTAATTCTATAGTAATATAGATTGTTTCCTGTAATTATGGTGACGGTGGTAGCAAATGACACGGTAATCATAGCTCGACATGCTCCACAAGTGGCCATGAAATGAATGATTTCGTAAAAAATATTTAATATATAAAGCCTTATTCCCATGATCACGGGTAATATCCAGAAGACGATTTATTTATATCATATTTTTTCTAAGTTTATTATTATTTATTATCATTCTTTACAGCCAAGAACATTCTCTAAAATCAAAATGACTTAAAACGAATAAATAATAGACTTAAAACATGTAAAAGGAACTGTTACTTTGTTGTCAATTGTTGATGTTCCATTATTATAATGTAAGTGTTTGCATTTAAATTAATTAAAAAAATATTTTAACGCTTTGTTTTTCAATGATATTGTATAAAGTAATATAATGAATATTTTAAGAAGCAAATATGTAATAAGACATACAACCATACAATCAATGCATATCTATATATATTAATCTGTTGAGTTGTGTATAAATTATGAAATAAAGAAATTTTTATCACAACCGTACACTGTATTTTAAGCTTTGTTTAAAACGTTTATGGTCTCCGTCATGTACAACAATGTATTATTAAAATTCAATGACTAACTTCCGACACAAAGACTAAGGTTAAATAAAATTAAAATTTATTACTTCGGTAATTAGGTAGTATTAAACAAAAATAGAAAAAAAATATGAAAAACTTTATTTTTTTGACGTTGACATGACTGTTCAAGTTTTTGCTGTGATGAATTCTTAAAAGTAACAAAATTCAAATAGAAAAAACTGATTGAGAACGGTCTGTTTCGAATTGGCTGTAAATATAAAGGCACTATAATAATTGAAGAAATATTGGATGATAAATGTTTTGTTGGAGACGTTATTTTACTTTTAGTCACTCGTGGCCTATTGGTTAAAAGGCCCCCTCTTATGCACGAGGGCGCGGGTTCGATCCTGGCCCGGGCAACTACCAATGTGATTTTTTCGAGTCATATGTACTTTCTAAGAGTATTTAGACATCACTGATTACTGCTGATTCCCTAAGAGGCTTGATGTCAGGCAGGCGGCCGGTCGTAAAAACAATTAGCCAAAATTAATCACAACATGTAAGGCAGAGCCTGGCTATAGCTGGGGAATTGCCAGGAAGAAGAAGAACTTATTTTACTTTTGAGCACCTGGGTTGGCTCACGTTATAATTTTTACGGGCATGTTCAAAGTACGACAGTATACATTGAGGAATCAATATCAATAAATCATTCTAATTACATGTTACAGAAATTTGGAATATATAAAGCAGACTAAAAAATTCAGTAATTGATACATCATATTGAAATCAGTTGCAAGTAAGTTTATATGAAACTAAATAAGGCAAAGTTTCGCAGTATTGTGAAATGTTACTGTAATTAGAGCACTATTGACAAATACTAAGCCAAGAAAGAAGTTGATCTACATTAAAACATAATTTAACTTACTGATAAAATATTTTTTTATTATCTCTATGTATTAAAGCTAAAAAGTTGTAACAAACTACACAGTGGCATATACGAAATCCTATATAAACGTTTGTAAAAGTAATTAATTTGGTTTAACTAAAAATAATGATAGTAACGTTGAAAATAAAATGATATCGAGGTTCTGTAATGTTTTAATTTGTTGATTGTGTTCGTTGAACTACATTAATTAAATAACAATACTGTACAGTTGAATGACAAAC